CCATGCATGTCGCCCATGTGTTGTAATTTTTGTTGTTAAGCTTCTTGATTCCTTTAACAACTTGAAGGTCACCCATCATGCCGGCAAAACTTCGATAAGCCGAAAAAGATTAGTCAACAATCTTGCGAAGTACTAAACTTCTCACGATTCTCAAAAACTTCACTAGAGCCAGTCTCTGATTATACCACTCTGATACCAATTGTTGATAAAAATACTATAAGTGTTGGAGAGCGAGAACAAGTAACAAATTATTTGTATTACACTTACAAAAATTACAAAAAACAAACTCTCAAATACACAATTTTAGAAGTTACGACACTCTCTCACTGTCTAGAGACAAACTCTAGAACACTCACATTCTTATTTGATTCTCACCCTCATACTAAGAGTGAAACTCACTTCTTGATTCTTGCTAGCTACTTGGTTACTTTGCTTCTCTTCTTACTTCTCTCTTGCTTGCCTACTTGGATGATTACAATAAGCATAGGCTAGTGCCTTTATATAGAAGCACTCCAAACTAAGCTCCTAAAATGGTTCGGATATCTATCGTTGTGTTGCTCATTTATAGTACAAATTATAAGTAGAATTTCTTATAATTGAACCTTTTAAAGCATTCATGCACTAATGTATGACATATTTTAATTGACATATCTCTAAGGACCCTAATGTAAAATATAGTTTGAAATGATTCATACCTAATAAACATTCATGCTTTAATATCGTACTATGGCCAATAGGATGTAGTGTTTTGTTTTCTTTAAACGAATGATGGGTATTGCCGGTCTCATTTTTGTGTATTTTTGTTGGGAATGTGTCCGAATGTCAAAAGTATTTAAATCCCAAATTCGATCTGCAGTGTCTGAAACTCAACACTACCGTGCTTTGATTGGAACCTGTTCTTGTGATTTTAGTTTAAAAGGCCATATTCTCAATGCATATTTTTGTGTATCCGCCCTTCGATTTGAAGTCTCGCCAACCTGAGAACGGTTTCAATATGATTAACAATAATTTGATGTCCCGTTAACTATTCCTGGGATTCTACTGTGATGCTTTTCTTAGTGAGTCATGCATTGTCGTATGTTTTAATTTTTCAACATGATGGTGCACGTTTAGTTTGGACCACAACAGTGACTTCCCGTGCTGCTGTGGCATACGATTTTCATGATCCATAAGGAAAATTCAACCTCCAAAGTAATCGTAGTTGTGCAGGCTTGTGGTTCAGCACAACACAAACAGCTTTCTCACAGTACAGGTTGGGCATGTGGTTACTTTTTGATTTAGACTGGCATAGTAAGGCCATTTCTAACTAAAGGAGGGTCAGAAGATTCCTTTTAGTCCTTTAATCTTTCAAGAAATTATTTTTTAATGAACAATGTCAAACTATATTTTATATCATCTCCAACTGAGATGGCCAAGGGACCATAGTCCAAACATAATTTATTATTTTTATTGAATTAATATGGTTATTTAAATTAAACTATCATATTAAAATAAGGTTTTCAGACATATTTTGAGTACCACTTATCGCCAAATGAATAAGTCTCCAGATTTCTTATCGTTCTATAATCTAAATAATTTTTTGGATAGGATTTCGAGTGACATGTGTCGCTAACGTTAGTAACTCTCTAGATTTCTTGTCAAGATGTAATCTCAATAATTTTCGGATAGAATTTCGAGTGACACGTGTCGAGATGTAATTGGTTGTGCAAATTTTAGATGAGAAATTTCGAAATATAGCCATTTCAGAGAACACGTATTGAAATATGACCTACTTTTTCTAATTCTTATAAAACTAACCAAATTTTATGTTCCAAAGACTAAATTACCATAATGCTAAAACCTTCTAAGTTCCTCCCTTCTTCCCATTTCTGAATTCTGATTGAGCTTCTCTACTATGTCTGATATCTCTCATTTCCTCTGTCTCTTCCGCTTCCGACTTCCATTTTCAACCTTTATATAATTCCATGAGATTGAGCTTCTCTTTCTTTCGAGTATACACAGCTCGCCATTCTGCTAAGTCAGTCGTCTTCCTCGCTGGTGTGGGTTGGTAGGTGCGTGGTTGAATCAGTTCAATGACTACTCTATATTTGGTAAATAAAGTTTGCTGTCGCAGAATCTGGGACTGAGGATATTAAGAAATATCATGTAATATATTTTAATTGGCGGCATGCCATTCATACAGAATTAACAGCTTTGCCGCAAAACAATACATGGACCATGGTTCCTTTACCTACATGACATAAACCCATTGGCTGCAAATGGGTCTATAAAATTAAATACAACTCTGATGGCACCATTGAGAGGTACAAGGTTCGTCTTGTTGCAAAAGGATACACTCAAATTGAGGGCGTTGATTATCAAGAAACATTTTCTCCTACTGCCAAACTCACCACTCTTCGTTGTCTTCTTGTTGTTGCCAGTGCCCGTCATTGGTTCATTCACCAACTGGATGTTCATAACTCTTTTCTCCATGGTGATTTGCACGAGGTTGTTTTCATGGAACCACCTCCAGGTCTTCGCCAACAGGGAGAGAATATTGTATGTCGGCTTAACAAATCTCTATATGGACTCATGCAGGCCTCTAGAAACTGGTTTTTGACTTTTTCCCTCACCATTCAGAAAGCAGGTTATCAACAGTCAAAAGCTGATTATTCTCTTTTTACCAAGGCTTAAGGGACTTCATTTACTGCAATTCTTATCCATGTAGATGACATACTTCTTACAGGAAATGATCTTCAAGAGATGAAACGCCTCAAAACATTTCTTCTCACACGCTTCCGCATTAAAGATCTTGGTGATTTGAAATATTTTTTGGGCATTGAATTTTCTCGTTCTAAGCAAGGCATTTTCATGTATGAGAGAAAATATGCACTAGACATTTTGCAAGATTCTGGACTTACAGGAGCACGCTCAGACAAGTTTCCAATGGAACAAAATTTGAAACTCACTCTCATTGACGAAGCATTGTTAGATGATCCCACCAAGTACAGAAGACTAGTCGGACGATTGATTTATCTCACTGTCACTAAACCTGACATAGTCTTTTTAGTTCGCACATTTAGTCAATTCATGCATGAACCTCACAAATCTCATTGGGATGCAGCTTTACGAATTCTCAGGTACATCAAAGGTACTCAAAGCCAAGGTTTGTTATTCCCTGTCTCTGACAATCTTGAGTTAAAAGGCTTTTTGTGATCGTACCACAAGAAGGTCAATTACAGGATATTGTATTTTTCTTGGAAATTCTCTCATCTCATGGAAATCCAAGAAACAAGACAATGTTTCTCGATCATCTGCAGAAGCCGAATATCGAGCTATGGCCAACACATATTTAGAGTTAACTTGGTTACGCTATATATTTCAAGATTTAAAAGTTCCGCAAAAGGCTCCCACATCATTATTTTGTGACAATCAAGTTACCCTATATATTGTAGCTAATCCAATTTTTCACGAGTGAACGAAGTATATTGAAATTGATTGTCACATCGTTCAAGAAAAACTGCAAGCTAGGAATAATTATTCCCTCACATGTACCTACACATGTCCAATTAGCAGATTTATTTACAAAAGCTTTGGGAAAAGATCAATTGGCGATACTACGTGACAAGTTGGGAGTTTATCATATTCACTCTCCTTGAGGGGGAGTATTAAAAAATACCATGTAATATTTTGTAATATATTTATCTAATATGGTCTATGTCAAATCCCACCAAAAGAGAGAAACGATTTTGGAGCACGTTGATGTAAGGTTAATTGTTTGACCAATGGTGCATATATTGTACTATAAAGTTTATCAACGTGATGTACGAAAACTATTCAGTCCATCACTTTCCATAACCCTGCAATATACTATTCATTCTTTTAATAGAGGAAGTGAGAGGGAAAAAGATACGTGACAGCATATGAAAGTGCAATAACGGACGAGATAGCTGGAAGCTGCGAAAGCAATGATGCATGCAAGTGCGACACAAAAACAAGAAAAAAAAAAAAAAAACCATCAAAACGCGGAAAATTTGTGCATAGCCTGCAGACAAAGCCACATTGCCATAATTACAAGTTTACCCTTGATTTTTATACAAGCGGATGAGAGAGAGCACAAAACAGTAGAGCTCTAAAGATTGGCCGGCTGCCGATACCCAATAGAACCCAATGATCCACCTACCACTCGCTCGGGTAGCAATCGTGAAACTCGTACGGTTGAGACATTAACTACATGGTTTGTGGTAAGAAAAAAGTGACATTTATTTAGGTAAATTGATTGGTGTGTTGATCTCTTAGTTCAATTGCTATTGAGTAGAGATAACAAAGTTGTGTGTTGGTGCTTGGATCCCGATAGTTCAATGATAGGGATGACGTTCAGAGCAAAAAAAAAACACAATATTAGGTGGAAGGGAAAGTTTTAGTCTAGGGGTAATTTTGTCTTCTAACATCAATTTTGGTTAAATTTATAAGAATTAAAAAAACTAGGATATATTTCAGTAAGTGTTCTTTGAAATGGTTATAATTCCAAATTTTTTTATTTTAAATAGGATTCTTATCTGTCTGATGACATGGCTTAGGTATTTATAAGAAAGAAATTAGAATTTAAAAAAAAAATATATATATATATATATATATATATTCAAATGCAACGGTAACATGGCATCAGCTAGCTGACGTTATGCTCACATCAAGTAGCCGTTGCATTCAAACCTTTGGGCCGGCCGGTTGGCCCCTTTTTCCATTTTTAGCCCGGTAGAGCCCATGTGCCATTTGACTTAATCATCAGTTGAAGACGGTTTTCATGTCATTTCGAGCTATTTTTAGCTCTATAGCCTTTTGATCGAGTCAGTTGGAGATGGCTAAGGCTGCTGTATATGTCAGTCCTTATTTTGTAATGTTTATTGTTCTTTCTTTTCTGCTTGTATAAGTAAGCGTTCTCCGAAAGGCTTCAAAATACTCCAATTCTATTTTTCAATTCAACAAATCAGTTTGTAAACTGTTTAATTTATTAGAGTGTGTTTTTCCAAGAAGCTTGCTGCTTCTTTTCTTTTTGTTTGTCCAACTTCGTAGAGAGTGAAAGCGAGTGAGAGGTGTGATACAGTTCATAAACTTATCACCCAAATATCCTGGTCTTGAGTTAGCAAACTTTGAATACCAACACCGGTAGTTTGTTTTGAAGATAACAGGAACGGCGATGGTGGTGTTTTGCTTCTCTATTTGCTAAAGGTTTTGAAGGTATTTGAAGCCATATATAGTTGGTTTCAACGCAAGTGTTTTCTTTCTTTTAATTTTATATGCGTGGTACTGTAATTTGCAATAAAGTAGAAATGCCACTTGTGATGTCTACTAATATGTTACACACTCGTTTTACACAGAGGGAAAGATTTGACAATGCACAGGGAAAAGCTGCTGGGCGATGTGATGGAGAAGAAGGGTTCTGGGTTGGCGGAATACTAAAACCGTGGTTGTTTGGAGTGACATGTCACTGTATTGTTGGGCCACATAGCATGGATGCATTACCGAAACAAAATTATTAGAAAGGTGGGATCTATCATCCACTTCGAAAAATATGTCCCGCTATATGTCAAGTAAATGTCTCATCCACACTTGCAATTTGCACAACCAAACTCTATCTTCTTCCTTTCTTGTGCATATCATCTCACCCTCATTCACTCTTTTCTCCGGCCCATCCCAATCCGTCTCTCTTCTTCGGTTTCTTCTAAAATTTTCGATTTTGAAACTGAAACCAACCGTGTGAAAATTTTCTGTTCAGCTCATGGTTTCAGGGGTCCAGCTTTCTTTTCCATCTCCGATGGCAAAACTAGGCTCCGTCAAAGTTATTGAGGTTTGCAGGGTAGCTCCCAAACCAAGCTCGCCGCTGGACTCCGCCCACCCGGATGATGTGTCTCTTCCTCTAACATTCTTTGACCTCCGCTGGCTAAGGTTCCCACCGCCTCAATTCCTTTCCTTCTACAACATGCCTTCTTTCGACCCATCACACTTCTTCGATTCCATATTTCCGAAACTTAAAACCTCGCTTTCTGCCACCTTCCAACACTTTGTACCTCTAGCAGGAAACCTCACCTGGCCTCTAGACTCCCCTATACCCGTTCTCAATTATGTCAAAGGCGATGCAATTTTGCTCACAATCGCCGAGTCTGATGCTGATTTCCACCGTCTAATTTCAACCAACAACTTTGACATTGAAGCCAAAGAATACCATCCTCTTGAACCCCAATTGGCAGTGTCTCATGACAAAGCTGCTGTGCTGGCATTGCAAATAACCGTCTTTCCCAATGGCGGTTTTTCAATTGGATCAGCCATGCACAAGGCTGTCTTTGATGGCTTATCTGCATTTTCGTTTTTCAAATTTTGGGGTCACTTATGCAAACATGGAGGAAGAGAAGGAGGAGGACCGCCACCCTTGCCAACTTACAACAGAAAGGTCATTAAGGACCCTGCCGGGCTCCAAGCAATCTTCTCAAACGAGTGGTTAAGATTGGGTGGTCCAAACAATAGAACCTTAATGCTTTTTGAGGTTGGAGGTCCAGGAGACAGAATTCGAGGCACCTTCGAGTTCACACGAGCTAAAATCGAAATGTTAAGGCGGTCAGTGATGAGGACTATGAAGGCAAAGAAGAAGGAACAAGCTGATCATTCAAAACTATTGCATTTGTCGACAAATTTGCTAACATGTGCCTATACATGGGTTTGCTTAGTTAGGGCTGAAGAGATCAAGACAGAGAAAGTAGTATTCATCCTTCACGTGGACTGCCGGTCGCGCTTAGACCCTCCCCTACCACCAACCTATTTCGGGAATTGCATCGCAGGACATAGTGTAGTTGCGAAAACAAAAGACCTACTGGGAGAAGATGGACTGTTAGTGGCCTTGAATGCTATTAGTGAAGTTATAAAAAGTTTAGACAAGACCCTTTTGGAGGGTGCAGAGACTTGGGTCTCAAGAATCTTGAATACACTACTGCAGCCTAGTACTGATAGAATAATTACCACCGCTGGTTTGTTAATGTTACTAGAATCAACGAGAGTTTTGATTTGGATGGAGCTGCACAGAAAACAACAATGAACAGCAACTGGAGAAAACGAATGGTTTCTTGTTCTTAGCTCTGCAGAAAACTTTTCTTGCAGAGGAATATTTCTTCACACTTCAAAAAGGAGCACTAACGTGCTTTTACATTAACTGAAGGCCCTTAACTTGGGACCACAAAGAACACCACATTTCATCCTAGACACACATCTTTCTAATCTCATGGATCACTCAACACATGGCACTCATGGCCTTTTACTAAACTAGACATTTACACTTTGCCTCATTTTGCACAAGTGGATACACCAATTTAACCAAAACTTATTCTAAAACATTTCAGCTCAAATACTTATAGTTCAACACTCCCCTTTAAGTTTTGAGCTAATTTCACACCAAGCAAATCTCGAAGATAGTTGAACCGATCCTTAGACAAAGCCCTAGTAAATATGTCTGCCACCTGCTCATTTGTTGGACAGTACACCAAATCGATTATCCCTTCCTGGAGTGCATTCTTGATAAAATGATACCTTCTGTCAATGTGTTTGGTTTTCTGATGGAAAACAGGATTCTTGGTAATTGCAATTGCTGCTGTATTATCACAGTGTACTGGAGTTGCTTCAGTTTGCATCTCACCAAAATCTTCAAGAACAAACCTAAGCCAAATGGCTTGAGCAGTTGCTTCAGAGGCACTGATGTACTCTGCTTCTGCTGTAGAGAGTGCTACACAATTCTGCTTCACTGAGGCCCACGAGAACACTCCACTGCCAAAGGAAAATGCATAACCAGAAGTACTCTTGCTATCATCAACAGATCCACCCCAATCACTATCACAGAATCCAATTAGCATTGCATTTTTTCCCTTTACATACTCTAAACCATAGTCTAAAGTTCCCTTGATATACCTAAGCACTCTTTTGGCTGTTCCAAGATGTTTATTTGTAGGGCAGTGCATGAATCGAGCTAGAAGGCTTGCAGCATACATTATATCTGGTCGAGTTGCTGTGAGATACAGCAGACTTCCCACAATTCTTCGATACTGTTCCTCACTTGCTGAACCACTGCTATCATCTTTGCATAGCTTCTCTGATGAAACCAGTGGTGTAAACACAGATTTACACTCACTCAAACCAAACTTATCTAACAAAGAAACAGCATACTTCCTTTGATGGATAAATATGCTTGTGTGAGTTTGAATCACTCCCATACCAAGGAAATGATGAAGGAGCCCCAAATCTGTCATCTCATATTTTGTCATCATGTCTTCCTTAAACTCCTTCAACATCTCAGTGCTATTCCCAGTATACACTATGTCATCCACATAGATTGAAACTATCAGAATTTCTCCTCCCCTTGCTTTGATGTAAAGAGTAGCTTCACTCTGACTTTTTACAAACCCACAGTGAGCAAAATAGGTATCAATTTCACTATACCAGGCTCTTGGCGCCTGTTTTAGACCATATAAAGCTTTATAAAGCTTGTACACCTTGTCTTCACTCCCCTTGATCACAAAACCATCTGGTTGTTCTACATAAACTTCTTCCTTGAGTACTCCATTCAGAAAAGCATATTTCACATCTAGTTGATATAATTTCCAACTTTTCTGAGCTGCCAAAGCAATTAGAGTCCGAATTGTATCCAGTCTAGCTACAGGTGCAAACGTTTCATTGTAATCCACACCTGGTTTCTGAGCATATCCTTTGGCTACCAGCTTTGCCTTATGCTTTTGCACTGTCCCATCGAGATTAAGCTTGGTCTTGAACACCCACTTAACCCCAATTATGGGTTTATCACTTGGTCTGTTCACCAAATCCCATGTTGCATTCTTCTCAATCATTGACAGTTCATCTTTCATAGCCTTCATCCATGCTTCATCTTTGGCTGCCTCTTCAAACTTTTCAGGTTCCATAATACAAAGATTGCATTGTGCCAAAACATCATCTAGATTCCTCCATTTCAATGGAGTGTGATCAAAAGCTTGAGTCCTTCTCATGCTGCTGTCCACATCACTTACAGATTCATGAGAGAATGCCAGATTTGGTGACAAAGCATAATCATTTTCCTCTGGAGTTGTCTCTGATGGGATACATTTAGGCAGCACAGATAGCTCACTAGGATTAAACACAGTTACATAGTCCTCAGGAGCTGTCTTCCATTCCCAGGCTGCATTTTCATCAAACACTACATCCCTTGAGAGTATAAGCTTTTTGCTAAGAGGATCATACACCCTGTACCCCTTTTCACAGGTTGCATAACCTACAAATATGCCCTTGACACTCTTTGCATCTAGTTTCTGTCTCAACTCATTTGGTGTGTGTACATAACACAGACAACCAAAGATTCTAAGATGTGCAATTCCAGGTTTTCGACCACTGAATGCTTCAAATGGAGTTACTTCTTCAAGAGCTCTTGTAGGACACCTGTTCAATATATAGACAGCTGTGAGTATAGATTCTGCCCATAAGTAGTATGGTAGTCCTTTGTCATGGAGCATAGCTTTTGCCATCTCAACTACAGCTCTGTTCTTCCTCTCTACCACTCCATTCTGTTGTGGAGTATAGGCCATAGATAACTGTCTTTGAATCCCTGCATCTTCACACAGTTTGTTAAATTCACAAGATGTGAATTCACCCCCTCTGTCACTCCTTAAACATTTTATCTTAAAGCCACTTTGTAATTCCACCATGGACTTGAATTTTCGAAAACAGATCAATGCATCTGACTTATATTTCAGGAAATAAACCCATATCATTCTTGTACAGTCATCTACAAGAAGCATGAAATATTTGTTACCCCCAAGAGAATCATTCTGCATAGGACCGCACAGATCCACATGCACCAGTTCTAGAGGTTTACTTGCTCTCCATGCTTGATTCTTTGGAAACCACTCTCTGTGCTGTTTCCCAAACTGACAACCTTCACAAACTTCATCCATTTCTTCTAAAACTGGGAGACCATGCACCATTTCTTTGTTCTTAAGCTGTTGAAGACCTCTAAAATGCAGATGGCCTAGTCTCTTGTGCCATATCCAAGTAGACTTAGAAATACCTGCTCTCAGTACAACCTGATCATTTGGTATCAATGTCAAAGGATAACACCTGTTCTTTTTCATTTCAACTTTGAGTACAAGACAATCCAATGAAGGTCCATCAAAGATACTACACATTTTTCCCCCAAATAACAGGTAGTAACCGTGTTCATCCATCTGCCCCACACTTAACAGATTTTCCTTCAACCCAGGTAGATACATTACTTCTTTGACATATTTTCTGCCTTTGCTAGTGTCTATCACAAGTGTACCAAAACCTGCCACATTCATGAGTTCCCCTGTGGGCATTTGAACCTTGCCAACCACATTTGTCTTCATGTCTATCAACAACTTAGAATCCCCTGTCATATGGTTGCTACAACCACTGTCTACATACCATTCTCCATTCACTTTTGATTCAGTGGTTGTGCTATTTGCATAAAACAGGTTCCCTGTCACCTCTACCTGATTAGCACTATTTGCCTTCTGCACCAATTTGCCTACTGTGCACTCTCTAGCGCAGTGACCAAACTTTTCACAGTTATAGCATTTAGGTTTCCCTTTATACCTACACTCTCCAAAGTGAAACTTAGAACATACCCTGCACTGTGGTTTGGTACCTATCTGCCCCATTGACTGTGCATTATGTGCAGAATTAGCAGGAAGTTTCTGCTGAAATTTAGGTTTTGAACCCCATTTCTTGCCCTTATTATTCCAATTTTTCTGAAACTGAGATGAACCAGATTGACCTTCACCCCTATTCTACTCTTTTGAACTCACTGAGAAAGATGAGAATGCTTTCCCAGTAGTATCAACAGTATGCAGATCAAACCGTTGTTCTTGACTCTTTAAGATTGCAACTACTTCTTGCAACTCTACAGTCTCTAGACACTTTGTGTTTTCTATAACCAAACAGATAGAATCATAAGGTTTGCTAAGACTGATCAGTACTTTCTGCACAAGTCTCTCATTCGACAGAGATTCACCAAATGTTCTCATTTGATTAATTAACTCATTCAGCCGTGTAAGATAGCTAGATAAAGACTCATCATCTCTCATCCTAGCATATTCAAACTCTCTCCTAAGATTCTGCAGTTTCACAGATCGTACCTGATCACCACCGTGATACTCCCCGTACAACAAATCGCATGCCATCTTGGCTGACTCGGCATTGGCAATTCGTGGGAATATCTGATCCGAGACTGCATTCTGAATGATTCCCAAAGCCTTTGCGTCTTTCATCAGAACAGCTACCATTTTTCCATCATCCTCCGATGCTTCTCCAGCTTCCTTCTTCTTCGGATTGGAGGTTGCAATCCCCTTCTCTACCAGATTCCATAACCCAAGAGATTTGAAAATCGTTGTCATTTTAATTCTCCAGAACTCGTAGTTCTCACCGGAGAAAACTGGAGTTCTCACTTCCGAGCCTCCAGATCCAGACATGTTTTGATCTGAATCGACAACTTCACAGAGCTTCAAGAGAGCTTCGATTGAGCTCAAAAATAGCTTCACAGATTTACGCCCAGATTGTTAGACCCAACCTGGCTCTGAGGCCATGTTAATGTTACTAGAATCAACGAGAGTTTTGATTTGGATGGAGCTGCACAGAAAACAACAATGAACAGCAACTGGAGAAAACGAATGGTTTCTTGTTCTTAGCTCTGCAGAAAACTTTTCTTGCAGAGGAATATTTCTTCACACTTCAAAAAGGAGCACTAACGTGCTTTTACATTAACTGAAGGCCCTTAACTTGGGACCACAAAGAACACCACATTTCATCCTAGACACACATTTTTCTAATCTCATGGATCACTCAACACATGGCACTCATGGCCTTTTACTAAACTAGACATTTACACTTTGCCTCATTTTGCACAAGTGGATACACCAATTTAACCAAAACTTATTCTAAAACATTTCAGCTCAAATACTTATAGTTCAACATGGTTCACCCCAGTTTGAGTTTTACGATGCAGCGGATTTCGGATGGGGGAGACCAACGAAGCACGAGATAGTTTCGATAGATGGAACAGGGGCGATGTCTTATCAAAAGAGCAAGAATGGCGATGGTGCGGTTGAGGTTGGGTTGGTTTTGCAAAAACGTTACATGAAGGCTTTTGCTTACCTATTTGCTGAAGGTCTTGGAGAAAAATTAAGCCGTATGTAGTAGCATACTACTAAAGCTTTGTGTGTCGTACTGTGATTTTTCTCGGTTTATTTTGTGTGATTTGCAGATTAATAAAAATGGTTTTCGATTTCATTTGTAATAAAAAAAAATGAACACTCTGAAGTAACACTGATGCTGGAGAAAAATCATTTAAATTATAAGCATACACAGTTAGACTTTGTTCTTGCTTCAAATGTCGAGTTTAAGAAACATCAACCCCAAAACAAAGAAATGCAAAACAAAACACAGGGACACAAAAGGAGCATACTCTCAATTGAGTTGTTTTCGTATGCATCAAATTGTGATTTGCAATTAAGTAGGAACGGCTTCCGATTTCATTTGGCATTAATTAAAATAATAAAAAAAATGAACAAACGCTCTGAAGCATTGGTGCCAGAGAAAAATAAAATTGGAATTATTAGCGTAATGTTCTCTGAACGAAGCAGCCACCCATTGCCCGAGTAGACGGAGGTCCAATCACAAAAATGGTTCAACAAGGCTTTGCCACGTTGTTGAAACCATTGCCAGACAAAGACGATAGCGTATGAGGAGGCACCGAATTGGAATCCCAGATCGTCGTCTTTGTCATTGGCGGTGGACCAAGAGGATCCGACCTGATTTAGACACCGAGCCATTAGCAGTGGACTCAAAACGATAGTAAATAGAATAATGAATATTTGAGCATAGAATAATGCTAAAAAAGAAAGATTAAAATTTTAAATTAAATTTGCAGATCAAATGATATGTTATCAATCGGAAATAAACAAGTTAATCAACACTTAATTAATAATCTAATCATCAACAGCCACATCATTTGGTTTACAAAATTTGATTTAAAATTTTGGTCTCCCTTAGTGCATCTCTAAAGGAGATGTCAAATATAATATATCAAAATTTTATTTGATGACTGATGTAGCAAATTGAATACAAGTGCTAAATTCTCTTCTTTTCCAATGAATGTGTCAAATATTTATTTTATTATTTTATTGGACCTAGAGTTATATTAACTAATAAAAAATAATCAAAATTAATTGTAGTTTTTATTCTATTGGTTGTTAATGGGATCCATGAATTAAAAAAATCAATTAAATATATTTGACTCTTTCTTTATTTGCTGTCAGAAAAGGCAACTAGAAAGTAAAAAGTCAAATGACTCACATGTCACATCATATATGACATATCCATTGAAGAACACCTAAATATTTTTTAATCATATTTGACATATTTGACATCTCCTTTGGACATGGTCTTAGCATTACCCTTTGAGCATAATATTTCAAAAAATGAAAATATGCTCTTAATATATATTTATATCATCATTTGTATGTTTCTCTAACAGATGTGAGACTCATCTGTTAGTAAGCCGCACTTGTAGGGGTGGGCACAGTTTGGATTGGTTCGGTGCGGTTTTGCGTAAAACCGAAACCATTTTGGTTTGCTTTGATTCGGTTTTAAATTATTTTAGTTTCAGTTTCAAATTTGCAAACTAAATGTTTTAGCCATTAATACAATCCAAAGGGTTCAAATTGCCACTGAAATCCAAATAATATTCCAAACTGTACACCAGTTTAAACCAAAGCCGTCGTGATTCAGCGGCTTCACTGCAATCTCAAAGGGGTTCATAATCTGGAAAAGTTCTCAACAAAAACTACAAAAGCAACAATAATTACATGACTTTACAGAGTTTTCTTCACTACGCGGAAGAGCCTAAGGCCAGTGGACATGTGTGTAAAGTTCTAGTGAATGACAATGAGTGTTAGTTGATATTACTTGGATGACATTTAACTTTATTCCCGAGCTATTTGTAATACAAGTGGTATAGTTAATCTTTAATTCATGAGGACTACGGAGTCTTAACTCCATGCAGCTAACTTAAAGAAATCCTGATAAGGATTGAATGCAAAGATATTGAATCATGATAGGACTCATTCAATATTAAGATGATAAGGATATATAACTGTTAATAAGCTGGTTGTGTAACCCTAGCCGTGTATATATGAAGTTATAGTCTCTGCCCCCATACTTGAAAAAACCCTAAGTATTACTGAGACCAATTCATACAGTAAGGGAGCTATTGAGTAGTGGGAGAAGAAGACTGACTTGCATATCATCCATGACGTTGAATACAAGTAGGTGTTCTTGTGATAAATTTCTGTTATGTGCGGTATTATACTCAGCATGAATTGAATGTATTGTAATCGTAGTACCTAGTTAATACAGTTATGACTAATGAGTTTCATTGAACTGCTTACAATATGGTACCACTTACATATAAGTACTCAAACAAGAAAAACAGCGAGCAATACTAATTCGAGAGTCGGAGCTGTAACCCTGGAATACAAGATCAAATATAGAAAAAAAATCCCAACGACCAAATTAAAAGCTCCGCAAATATAAAAACCAGAGAAAAAAACCCTTTTAAGTTTTGCGGTGCGGTTTCATATGTTCAAATTTGAAATTAAACCTTTTTTCAAACTACGATTCGGTTTCAAACTGAAATCATTTTAAAATGGCAAAACCAAATCGTTCAATGCGGTCTAATTTTGTTCATGTTTCAGTTTCGGTTTTGTTTCAAGTGTTGATCCCTACGCACCTTTGTTAGACCATCTCCAACCGTTGAAGTAAAAATTAGGTTTTAATCCAGAAACAACTTTTCTGCTCCAACTCTTCTGGCCTAAAATTTTAGCCCAAATTATTAAAAATAAATTTAGGCTTTTTTTTTTAAATTGACTTTAAAAATAATATATGTAGACTATCATAAATTAATTTTATGAACATTTTAACCTTAAATATTTAAATTCCGATAAATATTGAAAAATCACTAAATCGACATATAAAACTCATGAAGCACTATGGAAAAATCACTAAATCGGATCACTAATAAACCATGATCAATAGAAATGATTTTGGAAGATGGTAGAAAGAAAAATTTGAAGAATTGTAGGTGTGAGTTTTGGGTGGATATTTGAACAAATACATAGGTATTTATAGAGTTTTTGAATGAATTTTGAGTTAAATAATTTTTTTTAATTATTTTAGCCATTGAATTTAAATTTGGGACATTAGATCTTTTTTTTATCGTTAGATTTGATCATATATGATCTCAGCCGTTGGATTTAATAAACATATAAATATAAAACTAAAAAAAAGATTGAACTTGTACCGTTGGATCAACCAAAAATACATAGGTATTTATAGTGTCGATCTTAGTCGTTAAATCGGACCGCACGATCAAAAATAGGGCCGTTAGGCTTATGTTTGTAGGAAGAGGATCATCTCCAAATCCATTTTGTGAGAATCATAGGGATCTCCATATCTTAATCGTTCATCATACATCGTGCGGTCAGTTTTCGTCAGATACTATTTTGTATTTAATTTTAAATAAAAAAAGTCAAATAATTTCTGACTGCACGATATACGATGCGTGAATTTCTAAGATCCTCACAAAATGCATCCGATGGACATGGAGTAGTTGCGAAAACAAAATTCCTACTGGGAGAAGATGGATTGTTAGTGGCCTTGAATGCAATTTAAAGGGTGTGGACAGGACCCGTTTGGAGGGTGCAGAAATCAAATAATTTCTTGGACTGTTAGTGGCCTTGAATGCAAAATAAAAAGTTTGGATAAGACCCTTTTGGAGGGTGCAGAAAACAAATAATTTCTTGGACTGTTAGTGGCCTTGAATGCAAAATAAAAAGTTTGGTCAAGACCCTTTTGGAGGGTGCAGAGACTTGGGTCTCAAGAATCTTGAATACACTACTGCAGCCTAGTACTGATAGAACAATTAACACCGCCGGTTCACCCCGGTTTAAGTTTTATGATGCAGTGAAGCACGAGGTAGTTTCGATAGATGGAACAGGGGCGATATCTTATCAAAAGAGCAAGAATGGCGATGGTGCAATTAAGGTTGGGTTGGTTTTGGAAAAACGTTATATGGAGGCTTTTGCTTATCTATTTGCGCTTTTGCTTATCTATTTGCTGAAGGTCTTGAAGAAAAGTTAAGCCGTATGTAGTTGCATGCTACTAAAGTTTGTTTCAACACAAGTTTCTTCTTCTTCTTTTTTTCTCGGTTTATTTTGTATGTACTGTGATTTGTAGATTAATAAAAATGGTTTTCAATTTCATTTGTTATCAGAAATATCAGTCTAAAGAAACACTGGTGTTGGAGAAAAATCATTGAAATTATTAGCATACACGGTCAGACCTTGTTCTTGCTTCAAATGTCAAGTCTACGAAACATCAACCCAATAACAAACAATCACAAAACAAAACACAAGGACACAAAAGGAGCATACTCTCAATTGAATTGTTTTTGTATGTGTCGTATTATGATTTGCAATTAAATAGAAATGGCTTCCGATTTCATTTGGCATAAAAAAAAAAAATTTAACAAACAAATATAATTGAAATTATTAGCATAATGTTCAATGAACAGTAAGGGATTACATGATCAGACCCTGTTCTTGTTTCAAATGGCAAGTTTAAGTAAAAGATCAACCCAAAAAAAGAAAAAAGGAGAAAGAATCACAAAACAAAAACAGGAACACAAAATTTTGGAGGAATCAGACGGATGAGATCTCCCATCACCTTAGCTTCTTTTGTTGGCTCCAACTGCATCCTTGACGGAGTCAGCTGCTCCCTGTGCCTTCTCCATCATTTGCTGACCAGCCTGCAAAAACATACATGCAATTACAACATGCATATGCAACGCATAATAAGTGTAGATGACGTTTCTTTATTAAATGACGGATTGTTGATACAGTATCATTAAGGCGTTGATATCATTGCACATAACATGTCAATAATATAGCGCATTCACATGTTATTGGTACAAAATCATTCCTTGGCAAAGAACGGATGTAATGTCTGTAGAATTAACAAAAGGAACAAGAAGTTCAAACCCCTTGGGCTGATTCCTTGGCAGATTGGGCAGCATTGCTCATTTGGTCCATCATGCCACTGGCCTTTTCCTGTATATCAAAATTGCAAAAGCACATGATCATCAACCATCAAAACGACCAACAAATTTTTAACCAAAGTGCTTTTCTAGTCAGATGCTTTTAGACTCACCTGAGCTTGGCCCTTGACCTGGCCAGCTTGTTGGCTCATGTTCTGGGATTGGTTCATCTTGATAAAGTATAATTCTCTTTCTACACAAATGCACACAAGAAAATATGAGGCCGCTGCAAAATGCTTACAACTTCCTTATGATGATGAAATGTTGAGGTTAGTGAGGGGGATTTTATAGTTTTTTCAGTTCCATTCATTGCTCGACACATGTTGAGCAATGTTTAGACTCAAGCCTAAAGACCAGGGCTACCTTTGATTAGGGTTTGAGTCATTCTCTCATGACAAAGCTAATTAGTTACGAATTTAGAGAGGGTTGTTTGCAAACAGGCTAAATTGTGGCCTAATTTATCGACTTTGAACTTGAATCTAGGCAGCTTACAGAGTAAAAATATAATGTCACATTTCCATGCACAGTTTAATTACTCATGGCAAAAACAAGAGAGTAGGCCACTTCAAGTTAGTTAAGTTAGTTTAATTCTAGGTCTTAGGCTCCATTCTCTCCTCTACTAAAATACAAACAAGCATGAGAGTACGGTATTGTCTCTTCATATACTGCACGAAACCCTTATTTGTGCTTCTCAGCTGTTTCACTCTCGTTTTTCACTTGTTGAAGTATATTTTTGACACCGGAAATCTTATGAAGTTAAATCTCTTTTAATATTTGAGAGATTTTGATTCTAATTGTATCAAAAAAATTTCTTAGTAGAACTCAATAATTATCGAATTGTGCAGATGATTAAGTTAGAACAATAATAACGTGAGTAGTAATAATCCACTAAAACGTCTTTGAAACTTCGACACTACCCTCTCCAACGTGCGAGAGAGATAAAGGTGTGATGAGACGTGGATGTTTCCTCATTACGCAATAATGTAGGAGTCACTAAACTAACAATACGTTGATAGAGTGTGTTTCTCATGCTGCGGAGCTTTAATTATGATACAAGACTAAACAATCAATAAAAAATGGATGAATAAGATAAGAGTAGAAACTTATTATATTAGGTTCATAAAGAATAACAATATTGATATAAAAAAAGTGGGGTTAATCTCAATTTACTACTTTAAAATTTTTTTGGTTTTCAACATTTGGTACATGAAGTTTTTTTTATCTCAGAGTGGTACATAAAGTTATAATTTTACGACACTTTCATACCCATGTTAAGGTTGCTATTAAGTTTACCGTCAACTGATGACGTGGTATCCATGTGAATAATTACATAACGCCACGTGGATATTTAAAACTAATAAAAATAAATTAATAAAATAATAAAAACTAAAAAGATAAGAACAACGGACGAGGTTCGATTACAAGAAAAGCGGTAGAAATATTACCGAAACAGTGGCAATCATTTTTTTATTGATTGTTTGGTCCCCAAAAGTAAGCTGAAATGGTGGCAGTCATTTTCTTTATTTGATAAAAGCGGTAGAAACATTACCGAAACACACTAAAATTTACAACGGACGAGGTTCAATTGCAAGAAAAGTCCAAAAGAAAATATGGACGCCCAAAACAAAGCTCAAACCAAAAGTTTGAGCCCAAAAACAGCAAAAGAAACAGAAAACCCTAGATTCCCTGCGACCGTTGTCGATGCATCGCCGGAAAACTTTCATCCAACAAACGCCAGAAATCCAGCCAAACAATCCCACAAAAATGATGGAAAGACGACTCCAACAACCTTCACAAAGCACCATAGATGACGGATCAGTAGTGAACCAAAGGAAGCTGGTGAGAGAACTCATCAGCAACAGAGTCACCGAAGGCAACAAAGCCGTCAAAGACAAATCCATGGGAGGTGGTGGTGTAAACACCCGAGCTGAATCAAAACGCACTTCCCAATCCGTGAGAGGTGGTGGTGTGATCACCTGCACCGGAACTCTACGCACATCCCGAAATAATCACGTCAGAACGCGTTTAAGGTAAGTAGCTACAGATCTGAAATCAAATGGTTTTGAGGAAGGCCAAGGAGGTGGACGATGGGAAAGATGGTGAAAAGAAATTGGAATTGATGGCATAGGATTTGGAAAATTAAAGCACAAATTGGTGATGATTAGCGGAAAGATTGCTGGGAGAACTAAATCCGAGAGCCACCGACCCAGGGCATGGCAAGGGCCGGCGGTGTAGGAGATGAAGTCTGAAGAAGGCTCAGCACTCAGACTAAAAAGGCTTCTCACGGGGGTGGAGAGAAAGACTCTCGTAGTGGGAGAGAAAGACTATCAGTGGCAGTCATTTTCTTGAGTTGCATATGACAGAGAGAATTCAGAGACAGTACTAAAAGCTGGATCCTCTTATGTTTTGGTGGTGTATGATTTTTAATCTGTTATTAACATCATTATACATGAACGGCACAGAATATGTTGTTCATAATATTTTTTTTTTCTTTTGGGGTGGTGCTATACACGTAATTATTTTCACCTTATATATGCCTCTTAAATTTTAGTCGTCTGATCAAATGAAGTGAAGAAGATTAAGATGTAAAGATTAACAAGGATGTGGGGGAGGTAAAAAAAAGTATGAATAGCACTACCCTTCTTTTAATACAAGGACGGTATTCGATCGGGATGACTTCAAAAATGGTTCGGCGAAATTACACAATGAGTTAGTAATATAACAGATCAAACTCGTCATTCATCTGAGTCAAACTTAAACTTCTTATTTATAAATGTCCCATTTAATTGTAGTGATATTAGACTTGTTTGAAAGTGCTTATGTAATGATTGAAAATTTTTTTGAAGAAATTTCTTTTGGAACCAATTCTTAGCAAAAAAAGGTAAGCAAATTCTGAAAAACATTTGAGGTACTTTCTGCATGCAAAAAACATATAATTGATGCTTCTTGTATAAAAAAACTTCAAATGCTTTTAGAATAAAAAAAAAAATCGTTCTAAAAATACTTGTAAACTAGCCCGCATTTCGCACTATAACCTTAGTAAAAAATATAATATAGTGGGTGGGATTTAGACAACCTTCCATTGGCCGATAAACATCGAATATTTGTTTCACACGTTTTATGTAGCAACTCAATGAAGTCATTAATTACAAAGAGTACCGCTAGGGAGATTAAATTTGGATACTAAATTTGTAAACTAAATAATATGTCATCAATAAAGAATAAATACATTTATCAACGTTTGAGTAATCAACCAATCATCAACTTCCATGTCCTTTAGTTTTTAAAATTTTGTGTCCAAATTTAATTTTCCTGACATTATCCATTTACAAAATGTTCATCTAACAACAATAATTAAACAAAGTATGAACAACGTGGTTAAGAAAAGGAATATCTGAATATAAAAATCAGTTAGGCCGGTTGGCTTAATCCCTCTACTTCTCATAACTTAGCTCATGTGATTTTTGCCATATATAACCAACCAATTTTGAGAAATCTCATGCGCTAACATCTCAGTGTATCTGTCCCTTTGCATTTGAGTATTTTCCGAGAGAAAGGTAAAGCTCGTGTTATAGCTTCTTTTTAATTAGAAAAAAAGAAAAAATGGTCGTTAGCATACAAGCCTCCCGCTTCTAAATTTTTCCAAAAAGTCTTTCGTTTAATGTTTTTAGTCCACTATATAATTGAAAATTGTTGCCGAACAAGCTGTTAAGGGAGGAATGGAATTAGGTTGTTTAGGTTTTTATATTCATTGCATGAAGATCGCAGGTGATAAATCCAACTAAATTTAAGACTACCTAAATTGCGAGATAAGTTTCTTGGTTATCCTACTACTTATTTGGAAAGTCAATACACTTACTTTTCTAGACCCTAATTTTTCGGAAACAAAAAACAAAAGATCCTACTTTCTATCTGAGAAAATTTCTAACCAAAAAATAAATAAAATTGAAAAAATAAAATAAAATTGAAACTTGGAGAGGATTATGTAGAGCCAGATTTTTCAGTGTGCCAAAACATGGAGTGATATGTCACATGTTATTATATAATTAGATAGACACTTCACATATGTATTCAATTGAAATTTTGAAGGATTTCAAGGGATTTATAAATCCAAGATTTTGAGGGAGTTTAATTGATTTATATAGATTTAATGTAAAATCTTGATTCAATTCAATCAAAATCTCAAAGGGAGAGGTCAGAGGTGAGATTTGTGAACGTTTAAAATACACTATGAAATCTATCAAATTCCCTCAAATTTCTCAACTTTTTAAAATTCTTTAAAATAAATTAAATACACTTTGATTGTTATGAAGTTCTTTAAAATTCTAACTGAATATACCTATATTTCTATGGATTTTAATAAACCATCTTAAAATTTTGATTCATTACATGTTGACTAGAATGTCAAATAATCACTTAAAATCATAATTAAATACCCCTAGATTTATTAAAAGAATTAAAATATCTCAAAATCTCGTTAAATACACATCTTAAAAACACTCCTTTTAATTGTATAATAACATTCTTTTAATTGTATAATGACATATGATTTACTACCGCCTCGCCTCATATCGTGAACAAAAAATTTCTCACCCGACACCAGCTCGCACCGCGCTGTAAAAATTCTGAAACTGTCTATATAAGTAACTGAAACCCAAGAGTTCTAACCACATAACAGAGAAAGACATTTCTAGAGAGAGAAAGAGAGAGTGCTGGAGAGAGAGAGAGGAGGAGGATTAGAAACAGAGAGCTAGAGAGGGGAGAATTAGAAACAAGAGAGCTAGAGAGTTACTCAAGCCACCCACCGTTGAATGGCAAACCGTGTAATCCCAGCAGCATCAAAACTCCTGAAAACTATCGGGCCGCTTAACTCCGCCTCCTCCACCACCATCTCTGCCATCTCCCAGCCAATTGGCCACGCCGAAAAGGCACCACACCCCACTACCACCACCACCAACGCCGACAGCGTGACCCTCAGCCTTTCCAGCTTTGATGACGCGGACAAGCTCTTTGCGTCGGTCTCCACGTCGCGGCTGTTGAGGGCGGCGCTGAACCTCCACATGGTGGCGGTGGAGCCGATGGTGGATGTTGGGATGTGGGTCATGCGTTCTAGGCTCATGCAGACTCCGTTGATCAAAGACGTGATCTTGGGGTTGATACGGTCAACGATTTATGACCAATTTTGCGCCGGCGAGGACGCTGTCGCCGCCGGAAAGTCGGTGATGGAGCTGAACGAGGCGGGGCTGAGAGGGATGCTGGTTTACTCTTTGGAGTACGCCGGCGACAACGAGGCTTGTGACAGGAACTTGCAAGGGTTCTTGGACACCGCTGAATCCACCAAATCCCTGCCACCTTCTTCGGTAAGTTGTTTCTTCACATCACCCCACATCAAAGATTCAAGATTTTATTTCTTGACTCTTTCTGTGGTAGTATCAAAATTCTGCTTTTCTTTTCTATTTTTTTCGAATTAAAAACGGTTTTTTTTTTTTGTTGTCATAAAAGTCCATATTTACTAATTACATCACTAATCACGCTTATAATAATAATATAGCATGTTTACTACAAAGACTCTAGTGTTACAGAGTCCAAATTTTAACCGTTAGAGCTTAATTTTCATATTTTAAAACAAAATGTGTAACTATTAATACCTCGTAAAAGATCCCTATTTATCATGCATTAATAAAGTTTTGACCGGCATTAGACCAAAAAAAATGGATCTTCTTGTTTTAGGAGATTGTTCGACATGTCACGCGATCAAAGAGTCTGAGTCCATACAGTTGGCATGTCATGCATGTAGGTATGGAGGATTGCGGGTCCTACTTTCTTACTTATACCAGTTGGTTGTTTGCATGCACCATCAAGTTGATTGTTTGCATGCACCTAGGCCTAGGGCTGTTTACATTTGACTTGGCTTCCTAGTTGCTGGCTGCCGATTACGGATTACCTGTCTACGGACAAATTTTCCAATTGAGTTCTGATTCTGACAGTGACTTATCAAAAAAGCACTTTCAAACAAAGCAGATTCTTGATGTGATTTGTTTCTCTTCACCACTTCCATATGAAGTTTATATGCGATGGTAACTGAAAGTGATGTTTTTGGCTTGTAACAGGTGAGCTTTATCATTGTGAAAATCACTGCAATTTGCCCTACGAACCTGCTTAAGCGAGCGAGTGACTTGCTGAGATGGCAACATCAAGATCCTTCTTTCAATCTTCCATGGAAGCGCGATACGTTTCCCATTTTCTCCCAATCGAGCCCTCTCTACCATACGCTCGAAAAGCCGGAGCATTTGACTCCGGAAGAAGAGCGCGATCTCGAGTTAGTCCACCAGAGACTACTAAAACTGTCCCAAAAGTGCGCAGAAGCCAATGTGCCTCTATCCGTCGATGCCGAGTACACTTCAATTCAACCAGCCATCGATTACTTGACCTACTCCTCTGCAATCATCTACAACAAAGATGATCACCCGATTGTTTATGGGACGCTTCAAGCTTACTTGAAAGATGCAAAGGAAAGATTGTTGCTGGCAACAAAGGCAGCAGATAAGATGGGTGTTCCAATGGGGTTCAAAGTGGTGAGGGGTGCTTATATGTCAAGTGAAGGAAAATTAGCTTCTTCCTTGGGCTGTAAGTCTCCTATCCACGATTGCATTGAGGATACGCACGCGTGTTACAATGATTGTGCTTCGTTCATGCTCGAAAGGATTGGCAATGGCTCTGACGCAGTGGTTCTTGCAACCCATAATATGGAATCAGGTAAATAAATCACACTTGAAAGCTTAAATTTGCAGAAAAGCCAACTGCATTGTTACGAGTTTTGCATCGGTATGTCTGACGTACAATTATTAATGCAAATGTAGGGAGACTGGCAATGGCAAAAGCACATGAAATCGGGGTCGGGAAGGTGCACCGGAAGCTCGAATTTGCACAGCTGTACGGAATGTCAGAATCGCTTTCCTTCCGCCTGAAAAATTCAGGGTTTCAAGTGAGCAAGTACATGCCATTCGGACCGATACAGTTGGTGCTGCCTTACCTGTTAAGGAGGGCTGAAGAGAACAGGGGACTCTTATCTGCTTCCTCTCATGACAGAAAACTCACAAGGTAAATTCAAAATTGGATAAAAATTGATACATTCACAGCGTAAAAGGTCAGTTTTTTTCTAACACGGTCTGAACTCTTCGTTTGGATACAGGAAGGAGCTGATGAGGAGACTTGAAGCAGCAATCATCTAACGCGAAAGTAACGTCTTTGTGGAACAGCAAGCTTGGTGATCCGTCACCAATCTTGCAAATAGGATGATCTGTAACACTGGTGGATTGCTCGTAAGTTAGTCGAATTAAATGTGCATATAGGAATTAGGAAGTTTGGTTTCTATCTTCCTCGTTACATTAGGTTGTTTTACTGGGGAACAGATCCATCTTTGCTTCCTAGGTCTACTTCCATGGCAACCCACCGCAAGCGCCGCCGCCCTATCGACTGTGTTTCAAATCGTGTTGCTTCCTTCAGCAGAAGGAATATGAATAAAATGTTAATGTTGCTTCAAAGTTTCTCAAATGTGTGGATGATGTTTGAATGACTAGGAGTAACTAAAGAGGAACTTGGGTAAGGCTGCCCTCTCTCACACGGGTGGGATCGGCATCCCATGATTTTGTGAAGGTAATCCGAAGGGAAAGGTCACATGATCAAACAGTCTGACCCGAAATTTCCTTAAATGTACAAATATAAAAGCACATCCTTGACTCGAATTTCCCAATACTTGCGACCAAAGACACTTAGGAGTGGCTTGCAGTGGTTATCAACATCTTTTCTCAGATCAACATGTGTAATGGATGGGCGGTGGGGTCTCAAGTTTCCAAACCATAAAATATTCCCTTTATTTAATTCTTATTGTTGTCAATAATTATAATCTCGTAGATATCATAAATACAAGGGCAAGCCTTGACGCAACATAAATATTACTTTTTTATGACCAAAAGGTCACAGTTCGAGTCATGGAAATAGCTTCTTTGCAAAGCTAAGATAAGGCTGCGTACAATAAACGTTCCTCCCTGACTCTTGCAAAGCGGAAAGCCTTGTTGGCTTGGATCGCCCTTTCAATATCATAAATACAATGGAAAGATACAGCAATGTGCTTCAACCAATATTATCCAAAAATGAAAACCTAATGCATCTAACCTGGAAAAACAGTTCATGTGTACGTTCATGGTATGCTTTGCAATATCTTGACATCGAATCTACTCGATACCCGATTGCATCTTCGTAGTTCCCTCAGGTTCGAAATTCTCATGACATTGCAAATACGATCCTATCTGATCGGCTGCCCACTTCTTAGCAGTCGTTCCTCATATAGCACCGGACCTGCTTTCTCATATAGTGCCGGACTTGCATCAGAGAAGCCTCGTGTAGAATCGGCCTTCTGGGAAAAGGTCATGGTATCACTACCAAACAGAAACAAACAAGAAACAAAAGTGAATTGAAACGCATGAGAGAATCCAAGAGAATCTTAAAAAGACTAAATGGCAAATCTACAGGCCTAATCATGGTTTAGGTTGCTGACAAGATTTAGCATGATACATCCCATTTGGAAAATGACATCCCACCAAAAGTGAACCAACCATTTTTCATGGACAAGATTTACACACACACATACATCAATACATTTCTAGTCTTACTGTATTTGATATCGGTGTGTTTAAAAGTGCTTTTAGAATGACTTAAAGTGCTGCAATCCAACAATTTAACTTCATAAAAGGAAAATGGAGAAAAGGAACAGAAGATGTAAACTAGAAAAAAACAAGACATACTCAGCTCAGGTTTAAAAGTGCTTCCGATGATGATAACAAATATAAATCAAAATCGCTGACTTTGTAAAAAAGTTGTATTGTATCATATCACTACCGCTAGAACGTATGTACATACTCAGCTCAGAGTTTGATATCCTAGTGGCCCTTGCACTCCATCTTGTCTTGTGTTCTTTCCCATCAGAGAAGGCATCCATGGGAACATTTTCCCGAGCTCCTTGCTTATTGTACTCGGCCTAAGTTGCTTATCATTAATTCCAAACTTTGCTCTTTCAATTGCTTCCATTACATCTTCCCTGGCCACAGTTTCACCACCTGCAACAGACCATAGATTAATATGAAGTTGAGATCCATGTACAATTTCAGATTGCAAAAACCGAGTGATATTTGGATGTACTATATACCCTACCCCTACGAGCAGCAAGTAAAGCAGCTTCATTGATGATGTTTGCAAGATCAGCACCTACAAAACCTGGTGTCAGTGAAGCAATGAGATCGCAAATAAGATTAGTGTCTTCCTCCAAAGGAACTCCTCTCAAATGTACAGCCAATATCTTTCTCCTTCCTTCTTCATCTGGTTCCCCTACAACTATTTTTCTTGAGAAGCGGCCTGGCCTACAAAGGGCAGAATCCAATACTTCAGGCCTGTTTGTTGCAGCAACAACAATAACCTTCGAGTCTGACTCAAATCCATCCATTTCCGTCAGCAACTACAAGAACAGAAACATTTTTTTGATGAAAAACATTAACTTAATTGATATTAAAATAAATTTCAAACATACATTACAGATGACAAGATGTCACCTGAAATTCAAATCCAAGGTCTACCAATACAATAATGTGGTTAATACTTAATACTGCCTTTACTATTGTACATAACAGCAGGGATCGAAATTCGAAACAATAAGCTAAGTTAACGTGTTGATACTTGATAGCTATTTAGACTTGAAAATTGAAAACAAAACTAAGGACATTAAAGGAAATACTCAACGTTCCAAGATTGAAGGTGAAAGTATAAGCTAATCGCACAGTAATAAGCAAGAAAAGTTGGCAAGATTTTAAGGGGGATCAATATGATTTTATCATCAAACGAAATCAAACAGAAGAGAACCAGAGTCTTCCTATATACAGTGGTTTGACAATTATCAAAAAGTTTGGAAATACAAACAATGACCCACAGATCAAATTATACTAACAATTACAGAAGACATTCAGAATGTGACCGCTAAAATTTGATACGGATGGATGCAAGAAATGCAGGATTGAAGCCATAATTGGACCTTATATTACCTGATTCAATGTTTGGTCACGCTCATCATTGAAACTTCTGCCACGTTTCGTTCCAACGGCATCAAGCTCATCAATGAATATAATTGAAGGTGAATGCTTCCTTGCCATATTAAAAAGATCTCTAATGCGAGCTGCCCCTCTTCCAACAAACATCTCCACAAATTCACTGGCAGAAACACTGAAAAATGGTACACCTGCTTCTCCAGCCACTGCACGGGCAAGTAATGTTTTCCCTGTTCCTGGAGGACCCACCAGCAATACACCTCTGGGTAACTTTGCTCCTAGTTTGTTGTAGTTAATAGCTCCTTGCAAGCATAAAACTATCTACAAACGAGAAAGATGTCACGAAAATAAAGCAAGAGAATTGTATAAATAATTAAACAGTGAGAATATATTTCAGTGCCTTTGTTAGTAATCATGTATACAAACAGGTAGTAAAATTTGCTATGGTAACAAAATCATAGTTTTGAGAGGCAATAATAGACTTTAGAAGGACATACAACTTAAGGAGATTCCATTATACAAGGCGTATGTTGTTCACTTGCTTGTCTAACACCTCTAAATAAAACGAGAAGTATCCACAGGATTATATCTCAATAAAATATGCACCCTGAAAGGCTCATCGCCATGTGCAATAGGGCTTGTTGCAAGCCATGAGATACCTTCCCAGCACTGTTTTGGATACAAATATAGACTCATGATGTGAACTTATATATATATATATATATATATATGTAGACCGGTTCGAACAAGAGAAGTACGCCATGTTAATGTGCCTTGGATGATCCACATCTCAGGGTCAGGCGCTGATGGGCACATTGAACGATCCATGTGGCTGAGAGCCCTCACAGCCCAAGCAAAACAACGCAATTATCAGGGGCGCGCTCTACCATTGAGCTAATAGCCCTCTATGCCAAAAGTGAGAGAAACCCCATCCCTCTCTTTCCTTTTTTACGCCCCCACGTCACCACACGGGAGGGACATGTGGATGTAAAAAAGGGGATCCTATCAACTTGTTCCAACCTAGGATAATAAGCTCATGAGCTTAGTCTTACTTCACCGTCGAGAAACGAAAGAAGACTTCCATCTCCAAGTTTAACTCAGACGTAGTTCGCTTCTTTTTGGGTGTGCAGCAGTGTTAAACCAAAATACCCAACAAGCATTAGCTCTCCCTGAAAAGGAGGTGATCCAGCCACACCTTCCAGTACTTATATATATATATATATATTTTTTTTTTAACTGTTCAAGACTTTGGTGTTTCAAGCTCGTGGAGATCAGAACACTCCAACAACAAGCAAAAGAGGCATTTTTTGGCGTTCTTCTAAGAACTGATAAATATGTCTTCGTAGTGTTTCTAACTTGTATCAGCAAGCATTTAAGCCAAAAGCTTCCCTGCTTTCACGGAGTACATAATGGTAGCAAGCAGAGTGAAGGATATCCACAGTTCCATGTTAAGAAAGTACCACATTATCAACTCTATAATCAAGTTAGCAATGAAACAAAGTATCGACATACAGAAATAAAGAAAAGTATGCAAAATATCTAATGCATTCAAGAGAAAAGATGTGTACCTCCATAAGCTCCAATTTTGCAGCATCAACTCCCTCAACATCCTCAAATCCAACCGACTGCTTATCAGGTCGCTGCTTTCTAGCTGGGCTATTAGCAGCTGAAAGTTGACGATAAAGAAGCCACATCAATGGCATCAAAGGAATCCACAGAGATATTATAGTTATCAAAGTAGTCCTCATTGACATCAAAACTGATTGCGGAGCCGAGCTATATGTAATTCCTTTCTCTCTCATCAAACTAAGTAAAAATTTCTCATCATGATCTACTTTTCTAGTCAAATACTGCCAGTCAGGGGTTGAAGCTTGAGTCGCTGATAAATTTCTCAATACATTCGTATTCAGTGCTTGACTAGATCGAGAACCATCATCACTTGTAACTTTATCGGCCACATTCTCACTTTGGACGCTTGGTAATTCTCCTTCAGACAATTGAGTATCCCCATCGATGCGAGAGTTTGTGTTATAATATATTCGACGAGACCCCTCTTCAAGTAGAACTTTCGTAACAGACTCATTTCTCAGGCTTGTTACCAATTCTGAATATGGAACCATTTTTGGAGAGGGCACAGCTGTTAACTTCAGAAACAGATAGGTCAGCCCCAATATTACAGAAACCAAAGAAACAAGCGTCACTCGTCTTATGTTCTTTCGCAAGAAGGTCCGAACACCATTCAACACTGACTGAATTGTAACTCTTTTCACTCTCATAGCCAACCACCGCAACCTCGGGCGTAATCTCAAAGAAAATCGCCTCCTCAAAGATCTCAACTTAGTGTCTCCTTTCTTCCCCAAATGGATCTGCTTATTCGCGCTATTCGCATTTGTCAATGGCTCAATTTTATTGTAACAACACAACTTATGTCTAGAATTACAACAATTATTCAATCCCTCTAACCAAACTCCATTGTTTCCATTCATCAGCGGCCTAAGCTCATTGTTCCAAAACAACCCATGTTGAAAGTTTCGAAATTTATGAAACCCCGCCGACCGAAAACCAAATGAACTACAGTAAAAATCTTTATACCTCCCCAAAGACTTGGACTTTCCGCCATTAAATTCCAATTTGTTTGGGACAGATAAGAACCCAGTATTGGAAACTACAGAAAAACAAGAAGCCATGCTTTTCCTACAACAACACTTACTCTACTGAAACATCAGAGCAAAACCCACTAACTGCATAATCACCATTGCAAGATTAACACAGAAAAAATCATAATTTTGTGTAATTTGGCAAGAAAAACGGACAAAATTCTGAAAAATAAACCTGTCAGAGGTGTTTGTTTTGGTACTCAAATTCTTCAGAGCTGGGGAATTTTGGTTGAGCAGGAAGAGCGTTTGCTAGTGATTTTTGGAAGATGGGAGATGAAAGTGAGAGTCTTTGTGGATTGCGTCCATGAATGAGGGGGGGAATACACGAAGGAGGAAAACAGTTTGCTATGAACCGAAAGAAATTCTCTCCAAGGTTTTTGCTAACAGATATTTTTACATGGTAAGCTCTGATTGGTTCCACTGTTTCTCTATCATGGGTATGGCTGCACAGGATTATGATTTTGTTTGACTAAATTGGACCTTTATTGCCGGTATTTTACTTTGTTTAATTAGTTTTCTCAAAATATTGGATTTCACAGATGAAAATATGTGCGGAACATAGATTTAATGATCAAGTTAATTGAGGAGTCGACTAAAATAAAGTTAAAACAAGACCAATTCTAGGGGCACAAATTACATGAACAAACGTGAGAATTAATTTTAATAGGGCTAAAATCACTTATCGAGAAAATGTTAATAAATTAACGTTCGAATTAATCCTAGGGGTATAAATAATGTTAATAAATTTCCCTTTATTTTCTTGTGCGCACATTTATTGTTGATTTAAAATTAATTTTAATAGGGCTAAAATAACTTATCGAGAAAAGAAAAAAAAATACTTTTCCTCGCAAATCACCACCAAATTAGATGCATTGCCAAAAAACAACGGAAGAGAAATGTTAAATAGGCTTTCTCAAATCGAGGTTCTTTGCAAATTCTTTATCACGTCACACTTTAACGTTAATTGTAAGATCTCACATCGTCCAGGGGAGTCTAATGGTGGTGGTGGAGATCGAGGAAATTCATTTCAGAAATGATGGATTTCGCCACCATGCTCCGCGCACCCATTGTAAGATCCCACATCGCATAGGGCAGTGATACTTATATATATATTCTCATCTCTACCTAGCACGAGGCCTTTTGAGAGCTCACTAGCTTCGGGTTCCATCGGAACTCCGAAGTTAAGCGAATAGCGCACGAGAGCATTCCCATGATGGGTGATCCACTAGGAAGTCCTTGTGTGAGTTTCCAAAAACAAAACCATGAGGGTGTGGTAGGGGCCCAAAGTGGATAATATCTGCTACGGTGAAGTCGAGCCCAGGCCGAGATGTGACAATTTGGTATCAGAGCCTAACACTGGCCGTGGTGTGTCGACGAGGATGCCGGGCCCCTAAGGGGGTGGATTGTAAGATCCCACATTGCCTAGGGAAGTGATCCTTATATGTATATTCTCATCTCTACCTAGCACGAGACTTTTTGGGAGCTTATTGGCTTCGGGTTCCATCGGAACTCCAAAGTTAAGCGAGTAGTGCGCGAGAGCATTCCCATGATGGGTGACCCACTGGGAAGTTCTCGTGTAAGTTCCCAAAAACAAAACCATGAGGGTAAGTTCCCAAAAACAAAACCATGAGGGTGAGTTCTCAAAAACAAAACCGTGAGGATGTGGTAGAAGTCCAAAATGGATAATATCGTGCGACGGTGAAGTCGAGCTCGGGATATGATGAAGGTCCGGACTAAGATGTGACATTAATTCATTTATCAATATTATAAAATATTATGTCAAAAAATATAAGATAACAAGTATAAATAATCCCAACTTTTTTTAATGTCTTGTTATATCCAACAAACCACGCGTTCTGTTGTCGTTGGTTTGCCATTAAGCAACGACTCCAAAAAGCCGCCATCCATAAAATCTCGATTAATAGTATCCGAAGATATTTTGATCCTAGTGAGGAGAGAGAGGGGGCGGACGCACTCTATGGCGCACACGCGTGTAGCAGCTCCATTTGGTTTTGGTGGATGACAGAAACTACCACATTATTAGGCCTTCCTGTGTCTTGAATTCATTGATTGGGAAGCAGCTGAAAAAAAAAAACCACCACCATTTGAGAGAAAAAGGAAGCAACTTTAACGATCAGAGGAACAAGCAGAAGAAAACCCATCAAACTTATCCAATTTCCCAGGTGGGTTTTTAATTTTTCCTGCTTTTGACTGTGATTTCGATTTGGGTTTTTGGTTTTTGCCTCCATGCATTGAGAAATTTGTGGATCCATAGAGCTCGGTGGATGTTTGATTGTTTTTCACTCTGCCCACGTGTTTTGTTTTTGTTTTGGTTCTGAATCTGATTTGATCTGATTTGGTTTTCTTGTTATTGGGTATGCTTTTGTTTGTTCAGAAGATAAATGGTTGTGTTTGGATTACAGAATGGTCTCTTTGTCACCGAACGACGAAGAAATATGTGGTCACTCAGTGGTGGAGATATAAATGGATGTGCTTGTCGTGTTATAATCTCAACCCTTGATACCAAATCCAAGGGTGGTGACTTCCTTAGTCACTTGACGAGACTCGTTTTGGATTATATGTTAATTGGGAACAACGTTGTGATGTGATTCTTCAGTTTGATGATAATAATCGTTTTTGTGGTATTGAGCATCTTCTTATGTGCGTGGCTTTGTAGTTTCTCTCATGATACGTCCCATTTGGTGTCCATATACATTGTTGGTCTCTTCAGCTGTATTTTGTCATATTTAAAAGCTAAGGATATGGCATATTTATTGAGTAATGGAAGTTATAGTTATCTGCCAAATGGTTCGACAGATTGTTTTAATCGATAATATCATGGCCGTCTAACTTGCGAGTCTTATTAGCAATTCGGCAGCAAAAGGTTGCTGTTATATTAATGGCTACCACAAGTTGTCCTTCATATGTTTTTGAGTTCTTATGGAAGTGGATTTGTTTGTTTTCTTGTAATTGTGGTAAACTTTTGATTGCAAGCAGTTCCACTTTTCTTTTGTTTCACCTCTTTCAGTGTTTTCGGTCTATTTGGTCCACGGAATTGATCGTGGTAACATAGTTGTCTCTTTTGCCATGTGGCGTTCAAGAGATTCTTTAAGATAGTGAAATGGAAAACAAACTAGAAGAAGATGATGATCATGAGCCAGGTCCAGTTCCTCCACTGAGACTGGACAGATTTGGCTTCTTAAAGCCGGAAGTTTCTCCTCAAGGTTTAACCAAGAGCAGGTCAGCCTTTGAATATGAGAGGTAAGCTTACCAATTTACCATTTTCTGCTTTTGTTTGGCCATAAAAAGTTCATTTTAATGAATATGAGACTCGAGCAATTTAACATTTCATCCATTCTAATTATATACCGTGGCTCTTCACCGTTTTCAGAGAGGAAAGAAGAGTTAGAAAATGGAGGAAGATGATTGGGGTGGGAGGGAGTGATTGGAAACATTATATTAGGAGAAAACCTCACGTCGTTAAGAGGAGAATAAGGAAAGGAATTCCTGATTGTTTAAGGGGTCTTGTTTGGCAGTTGATCTCTGGAAGTCGGGACCTTTTGCTGATGAACCCTGGGGTTTACGAGGTACATATTATTCTCAGTTGTTACTTACACTGCTCGTCCTTATTTGTGATTATTCTTTTCATATCCTAAGTCAGTACTTCATCTTGTGCTCTTGTTTCTTTGTGCACGCACATCCATAGTATTAAACTAATAAGCGGTATGGTTGTTGCAGCAATTAGTGATTTATGAGACCTCAGCTTCAGAGCTGGATATAATTCGAGATATATCGCGTACCTTCCCTTCACATATTTTCTTCCAGCAGAGACATGGCCCTGGTCAAAGGTCCCTCTACAATGTTTTGAAGGCGTACTCCGTCTTTGACAGAGAAGTTGGATATGTTCAGGTTTGACACTTTCTGTTTGTTCACTCTTGCACTTAGTTTATGTCAGGCACTGGATAATTTTAAATGGTTAAAAGAATGCAGGGAATGGGATTTCTGGCTGGTCTCTTACTTCTTTATATGAGCGAAGAGGATGCATTTTGGTTATTAGTTGCATTACTCAAAGGAGCGGTCCATGCACCAATGGAAGGTTTATATCAGGTAGCCTTTATGCTATTTGAATTTCTTGATCTTTTCTTTGGCGGTTTGTAGACTAACTAAATGTAATCATGCCATCATTACTTATGCAAAAAGAAGAATGTTAGTCTGCCATTTTGACCATCTGGTCCAATTCTTATAGTCAAAAGGAACAACAAAAACAAAAGAGATTGAGATGGTATCAGATGAACCAATTGGTCAAATAGGATTTAGGTAGTAAATTGCAAAACTCTAACCTACTGCTGAGCACATTGGTTTCTCGTTAGGCAAAGTAAGAGTTTATCCATGTTTTTCTTTCTTTTCAAGGGACATCTTCTCTGAGCGTAGGCCTAGACCTTTGTTTTACTTGAAAGATTTTTCCTTTGTTATTTGCTGGCATTCTGAGCATTTCAGAGCTCTAATTCTGTTATGATGTCTTTGGTGTCTTTTCTACTCGTTGCATCTATTTGGGGGTTTTGATGACCTTGTTCACATTCATTTTTATCCATACGGATTATGCCTAGAGTAGTTTGTTCGTTTATTATACTCAAACCCAGATATATTGTTTCTCATCGAAAAAAAAGGGGATAGTAAAGGGTAAAATGGCTTCAATGCTCTTAGAAGTGTTAGTTTATGCTTGTCATGTAGGTAGGGCTACCACTGGTACAGCAATACCTTTTTCAGCTTGATCAGTTGGTAAAGGAGCACTTGCCAAAGCTGGGCGAACATTTTACTCAAGAAATGATAAATCCTAGTATGTATGCAAGCCAGTGGTTCATAACCGTTTTCTCCTACTCTTTCCCCTTCCATTTGGCTCTTCGAATTTGGGATGTCTTTCTCTACGAGGTTAGTGATTTTTAATGTGTTGTATCTCTCTTTCGAAGTACTATTGGTGGTGGGAATCTAATTTAAAAATTTTCAATTCTTATTTTTCACAGGGTGTGAGAATTGTCTTCAAAGTTGGTTTAGCCTTGTTAAAGTATTGCCATGACGACTTGGTGAGTATATCACAACAGCTTTCTACTGCGCACCATGATAACTAGAACATCGCATGCTCATAGACTTTGTTACCGTATTGTCTTTTTGACAGACAAAATTACCATTCGAGAAACTCATTCATGCTCTGCGTAACTTCCCTGACGATGCAATGAATCCGGATACTTTACTTCCATTGGCTTACTCAATCAAGGTTCTTCTTCATATCCATTTCATTGCTTCTATCGTCAAAGTTTCTTGCTTCTATCATCATTCACTCGCATATGCATCTTTCGCTGATCTCACTAGGTATCGCGGGGTTTGGAGGAAACAAGGCAGGAGTACGAGAAGAAGAACGGAAAGGAAGGTAAGTCTCCAGAGATTGATAAGCAGTTGGAATGAAGTTTGTGCGCATCTCATCGGAGCACTACATATGCTAAATTAACTTGTCATTCTTTATTTTCCCGGCATGGCAGCGGTTGTCCGAAACAATGTACTTTCGACAACATCGCCCTCGATCGTTGTTTGATAGTTGCATTGTTCAAGTCCTTGTTTATGAACTCCCCTGTTCCTGTTTCAAACTCAAATGTTGTTAGATGTGAATATTTATTAAGATAGGAAACCAAAAGGATATAAATAAATCTTGTTATTCTTGCATTAATCTTGGCTGCAGTTATTCGATCATCCCCCTGAACTCTGTTTTATCAGTTTTTACTTACGATGTTTGCGGTATCTCTAAGGTTCCGGCTCCTATGTATCCCGTCCCCTTAGTACGGCCTTATGTCGTCCAGCCCTATTTTTTAATTTTTGTCAAGCATTTAGTACGATGCCGGTCTAAAGGGGCGGGATTATTTTGAAATACGAGGCCTCCAGTCTAGTGGTCATCAATCGGCCTATGGTCCGAAGGTGAGAGGGTCGGCCCCTAGCCTAGGCCCGATCTACCAAGTGAAATGAAATTATGGATCTAATCTGATCGAGTGATCTAAGCCGTTGGTTTTGGAACTTTCTAAAATTGAAAGCCTTGATCATTTGTAATATATCTTTGATTCAGGGCCAGACTCATTAAGAGGCAAGGAGGTCGGTTGTCCTTTCGGACTCCGGTAAACGTTCATGAATAATTTAGATGCTGTTTTTTGTAAAGTTGAAGTTTCTCTTCATGCACTTCCACTTGCTTGATAAAATGCTTTAAAAAGGAGTTGCCCTTCTAACTTTTAAAATTATTATATGTTTAAAAAATGTTTGTGAACTTTTATAAGTGATCTTCCGAATAATTTTTTACGAATCCGTCACTGTTTAAAATTTCCCATCGTGACACACAATCTTTTAAATCATATTATTCATTGGTTCGAAGAAGCTAAAAGCGTAATTGACATTAAGTTGATGCCAAATATGTGCTTGTAGCCAAAAAGACCGTAGAGCGTTTTTCAGAATTGATACACAGAGACACAGTTGCACAGCATTACTTGAACCACGTGTTGTTTGACATGCATGCATTGTGTTCCCTCCTGATTTCTTGCGTCATGATAGAACGAACAAGAGGAATCAAAGGCTGCTTTTGAGGTGGGAAGTTGGAATGCGTCCATCTAGAACCAACCCTAATATTAGACATGACTCGTTACACAACTCGAAACGAGCATGAATATGAAAGTTCTTGTTTACACGTTTAACACTGCTCCAACTAATATTGTTGTTATATTTTTGAAAACTGATTTGACACAAATTTAACATATATATAATGACTTTAAATATTTTGTACTCAAAGCTATTTGTCGACGTTTTGTGACCTATCTTATTGAATGACACGTGTCTTTTCGACCAAATTTATTTTTGCCTTTTTAGCTAAAATAGTTTATGGGATGACATAACTCCTTATCTGAGATTTAAAATCGATAGAACTCGTGTCTGAGTTACTCTACCATTAATCATTTTGGTCTTTTCATTAAAAATCTTATTTAAATTACAAGAAAATGATAAAAAAATACTCTCAATTTTGTCATATCATTTTCGCCCATTGTTTATTAAATTAAAGGTATTTTGTCATTTTGGTCTTTATTTAACACAAAATTTTCATATAAATACCAAAACGAATTTAAAGTCGTATTGAATTTAACACAAATTTAACGTAGTGACATGTGTCACTCAAAAGGATAGATCGTAGAGAGACCACATAAAATTTTTGGTTCTTTAGATTTAAGCCCTTACAACTCTTAAACTCTAGACAAAAACCCACATATATTATAACTTCTAAATAAAACCCAAATTTTAAATATGATGTCATGTTGGATAAAAGATGTCCATGAATTTGTGTTTATTTACAAAATCATTCCACCAAATCTCTTATACGTTTCTTTTAGACATTTAAATTGTTTAATATAATTTTAATTTTGTGTAAACTCCTCCAATCCAAAATCTAATTAGATCAAATATATACGGACATATATTCTACATTTATGTATACTAATACCATAAAAAGAAGTAGGTAAATTAATTTTGTTACAAATTTAAAAAGTAGGCACATTAATTTTCATGTAATTATACCGTAGATAAATTATTTTCACAAAATCAAACAATAAATATTGTTTTCAAAAAATTAATTTTCATAGTAGGTCATTTTTTTCATGTAATTATACAGTAGGTAAACTATTTTCATGTAATTATAACGTAGGTATAAAATTAAACAATAGATATTGTTTTCATAAAATTAATTTTCGTAGTAGGTAAATTATTTTCATAAAATAAAACAATAGATATTGTTGAAAATAAACACTAAATTAATTAGGTATATTCAAATTGAAATTTATCATCGAAATTAAAAAAAATATATCCAAATTAATTCCTCCATATAGAACCATATTTCATGGCTACAAGACCTTGCCAAATTCAATGCACGTGATCAATGAAAACAAAATTACAAGAACTTTCCATAATGGCTTAGATGGGGTATATTAGGGATCCAAAAAAAATATAAAAACGGACACCCAAACTTAATTTGGTAAGTTGCTTAGTTGAATCCTAATCATTGAGCTTTATTCGGATAAATATTATATGATGGGCTAGAGGCTAGAAAATATGAGTTTGGAGGGGAAAAGTAAAATTTTTAGTAAAATTTTGAATACAAAGAATTTAAAGTCGTATATAAGTGAATGAACATAAAACGTGACACAAAAATGACATGAACATGAATAGATAAACATGAACGTGGCTCTCTGCCACCCCCTAATTCGAATAAAAAAGATTCCTATAATTGTGGCAATTAACTTGCTTTTACGTTAGTGGGTAGGTGTTGTTGGCATTAGTTGCATGCTTTTGCTTAATCATAAGATGCTTTCAAACAAACACAAAGAAATTAGAAGATGCTTAAACCTCCGAATCACGATATTAGGAGAGATGCATGCATCGCCGCAAAATTTGGATGACCATTCGCCCATCTTTATATTCCAAAATTAAGTATCCCAAAAACAAGAAAGTCTTAATTAGTTAATTTGATGTTAAGCATTATTAGGAATGTTGGGCACAAATTCTGAAGACAAAAAAAACTTAGTTTTTTTTATTGTTATTGATTGATACATATTAAGTTCGAGAATTGCAAATGAGATTCTCTCAAAAGTAGGGCTTGTATGAACTCTTCGCCATCTTATTTTTTTGCATAATGTTTTATAATGTTGACATAGAAATAGTGGTAAAAAAAAAGAGGTGGCAGAAAGTCCATAAACAATCACACTTCTCAAATAAGCTCATTAACATTTCTTGTTAAGCTTATGACAACAAATGTTAAAAAAATTAAGTTTACTAACAAGTAAATTAACGATTGATATAATTAAAATATTTGATATAAAATAGTTACAAAAAAAAAAAATTAGTACATCGATACTTTTATAATAAGAAGAATGAGAGTTTAGTTAAGTCACATAATTAGCATCGTAATTTGATATCGAATTCACCGTCGACGTGATTCAAATCTAAGACTTCTCACTTTTAAATGAAAAGGAATATCACTAGACAGTAATAAAGAGTGACATTACAAAAGATTTGAACATGGTGTTACATTGCTTGTGAAATGTCCTAATGAATTAATCAACACACTAATGATTACAGACACGATTGGGATAGGAGTGAAACAAAATATTATTTAAAACGGCACTAATTATATTCTTTTTTGGTTTCCGGTCCAAGTGGCGTGGACCAAATTGCGCTTGATTTGATATAAAATTCGATGAACATTGTCATGCGGGCCCACACAGCCACGCAAGACAAGGACCGGTCCCTCTCATTGCGTGTGGTCGACTCACAACCACACCTTTCTTAGCCATCCGCCACGTGTCGCGATGACTCGCGCTCGTCCCCGCCCTCAATCTTCGGACCCCCATCCCTTTTGACGCCGTCGTTTGCTTAAGCAGGTCTTTTCAAAACTTTGATTCCCCGATCAAATGTCCAAACGGCCCCTGCCCGCCTTGTGGACGGCGAACTTCCTATCCGCGCAAACACGGAAGGGCAGAATCGTACGAATAAAAAATTACGGGAGGTTCGTGAGTAGTTGAACAAATCCGCTTGAAGCGGAAAGAAAGCGTGGCATGACCGTAAATAAAGAGAAATATCGTGGCAAACACGTATTATTCAACTATATAAGATAACGCTCCCGTCGGGGCTCGGAGCTTCACGAAAACAACGCAGTACCGTTTTTTCTGCTAACAAATTTTCGTGAGCCTCAGTTATTTTTAGGGTTTCCATTTCGCCGAATCCTTCAGATCTTCGCCTCCTCCTTACCAATTTCGTCCCAATTTTCGAATTTCCAGGTACGATTAGGGTTCCATTGTTCGCCTTCGGTTCTCAATTCTATGGAGTTTTAATTCAATTTTTTGTTTTTGTGTAATTCTGATCTTTTTGTGGTTTCTGTTGGCATTTTCAGGTGTTGATATAGAGATTTAAAGGGGGAATTTTGAAGGAGGTTGTAGATTCGGTATTAGATTATAAAAAGAAAAATCAATTGTAAGTTTGTTTCCCTAATCTCGGTTATTATTTCGATGTTTGATTTGATTAATGGTATGAATATATGAGAAAATATTGTGTTTGTTGCTGGATTTGGTCAAAGTTTTGTTTTTGTTGTTGAATTATATTGAATTGGGATTTTTCTTCTATTTTCTTGTGGAAAACGTAATGATTTGGTTTAGAACTTGAAACTAGATGTTCATTTGCAAATTTAATAGCCAATTCTATGCGTATTATCGATATTTTCGGTGGGTTTTTAATCTCATATACAGACTACTCACAATGCCTGTTTGTTTTGTGTATATAATTGTAGCATTTTTGTTTATAGGGTTTCATGCTTGGATGTATGATTGTTATTAAAAATAAAATTGGTTAATTAGGCTTTTGGTCTATGCTAATCGTTGTTTATTGGTCTAAGCAATTGGCTTTTCATGAAATTTGCATAGAGGTAACGGATGTTATACTTGTGAGGTAATTTGGTGTTGATCCCATTTCGGTTAATCCTTTCTGCAGGAAAATAACTGAATGAGCTAATGGAGTCCAAAGGTGGCAAAAAGGATTCTAGTAGTAGTAAATCATCGTTCTACGAAGCTCCCCTCGGTTACAGCATTGAAGACGTCAGACCTCACGGTGGAATCAAGAAATTCAGATCAGCTGCTTACTCTAACGTAAGTTTTAGTTTGTGTTTCTTGGTGCATGGATTTCCTGGTTTGTTTTGTATGGATACCCTCTACTAATATTATCATACATTGTTCTCTGTGCAGTGCGCTCGGAAGCCCTCCTGAGTTGTGTTAAGTCCCAACATAACCCCGTGCGATCGTTAATACTGCAATCTTACTCTAGTTATTCTAGTCTATTTCTTTTTCCTACTTCTCTCGTTCTCTCGTTCCCTCGCTTGTTATCACTTCGTCTGCTGTTGCATCGTCATTTGCTTGCTTAATTCGAGATGGCTGTACCGGTCTCTGCAATTGGATTTGAAGGGTATGAAAAGAGGCTCGAGGTCTCTTTCTTCGAGCCTGGACTGTTTGCTGACCCTAAAGGCATGGGTCTTCGTTCTCTATCGAAAGCTCAAATAGATGAGATTCTGACACCAGCTGAGTGCACCATTGTTTCTTCACTGTCAAATGATGATCTTGACTCTTATGTCCTATCTGAGTCGAGCCTCTTTGTGTACCCTTACAAAGTGATCATCAAAACCTGTGGCACAACAAAATTGCTTCAATCAATCCCTGCCATCCTCAAGCTGGCTGACTCCCTCTCTCTGGCTGTAAAATCTGTGAGGTACTCTCGTGGGAGCTTTATCTTTCCTGGTGCTCAGCCCTCTCCACATCGTAGCTTTTCGGAGGAGGTAGCTGTACTTGACGGCCATTTTGGCAAGCTTGGTTTGGCAAGCAAGGCATATGTTATGGGAAGCCCTGACAAAACTCAGAAATGGCATATTTACTCTGCATCGGCGGAGTTGGCAAGCTTATTGTGGGGTTCACGCCAATCAGGCCCTACCTACACTCTGGAGATGTGCATGACTGGTTTAGACAGGAAGAGGGCTTCTGTCTTTTACAAATCCGACGCAAGTTCAGCTGCTGATATGACCGTAGAATCCGGCATCAGAAACATCCTCCCGCAATCCGATATATGCGACTTTGAGTTCGAGCCATGCGGCTACTCCATGAACTCAATCGAAGGGAATGCAGTTTCTACTATCCATGTGACACCAGAAGACGGTTTCAGCTACGCTAGCTTTGAAACAGTGGGCTATGATTTCAAAGATGTGAACTTGACCCAACTGCTGTACAGGGTTCTGGATTGCTTCAAACCAGCTGAGTTCTCCATAGCCTTACACACCACGAGCACCGCAGGCGAAGATCTTAACGCTAAGTGCCCTCTGGACTTGAAGGGATACTGCTGCGGAGGAAGCAGCTACGAGGGTTTGGGGCTGGGTGGCGCGGTCATGTACCACAGCTTTGTCAAGGACGACAGCGGTTCTCAGTCTCCAAGGTCGATTCTGAAGTGCTGCTGGAGCGAGGACGAGAAGGACGAGGAAGTTGAAGAAATAGGTCTGGCAAAGATCTAGTGTTTGATTGTTCGTGTTTTTAGTATAAATAAAAGTAAAAACAAATGTGACTGTGGGGTTATGTTGCAATTATAGTAGACGCAGCATGTTGTGTCGCTGCAAGTTTAGTTTATGATATTGTCAATAAACCGGATCTCGGGTGGCAGCTGATATCCGTCGTCGTTATGAGACTTCCTGGATGCACGAGTCTTTGTTGATGTACCTTTTTTTTTCTCAATAAGATGAATATTATTGTCATCTATTTAATTTCTTGTGTTATGACTGGTTTATGTTATTTATCAAGATTTTTCTTCTTTAAAACGGGGACCGGGTGATGGTTTCGTCAGATGGTCCTCTATTTTGGGGTTGGGCAAACTTATAGAGGTATTTCAATCTCTTTTTGAACACTATTGTGTGATTCACCAGTATCAGAAAAAGAAACGAGCCTCTCTACGTAGTTCATGCATCATATATTAATGGCCCGATCGAGACGCCTCCGGTGAATGTGGATCTGTTCCATGGAAGTCTTGAGAAGACGTTACAATCGTTGCGGTTGGGTTGGCATGAATAGGGAATGCATATAAGTCATACACATTTTGCCACCCATTGCCATGGTGAGGAGTAACCATCTCTTCCCTCAAGGAAGCATCCTCGCTTCTAAGCTTCTTGTTTTGAGGAATGCTAAAGGGTTTCTCTTGAAAGTGACTCTCTATGGATTCTGCCATCTCATAATTTAACTTCAATTCTCGTGAACATTATAAAACATTGTGCTGCAAGCATGAGGTGACAAAGTTAAGAGAGTTCCCTTAGCATCCATCTTGTTTTTGGTAGAAATTTGTTGGGCATTTGGGTTGTAAAAATCCAAGGAAAGACATTAGGTGCACCCCAGTATTGTTGAATGCACCGCACCCCTCATAAAATATTACTTATACACTTTAATATAAAAAGACTATTTAGACCTCCTACGATTATGAATACACCTCAAAATCATTTTTAGTGTATATTATTTTCTTCAACCTCTCGAAGCCACTCTCATCCGCTATTAAACTCAACGATACAATTCATTGCAATGTCATTTATCATATATCAGTTTGTATTTATAATATTTCATTCGATTGGCTAAAATCTCTTCAGAGAAAATTGAACGGGTTTGCTTTTGATATTATGGAGTTTGCTGTTGCTTGTTTGGTATATACAAAAAACAAATATTGAAAACCTCATGAAGCAACTTAGGGCAACTTGTCCTATTCCTCACATTATTTCTCCTTACTCGAGCCAATAGAAGTAATAGTCTTCAATGCGTTGGCTTGATGATGAATTGATGGTGGACACTTCTGAAATTCTCTTGAACAGCCTTTTGAATTCACTTGCTAAGATTGCAAAGGCTCTATTCTATTTTTTGCAGATCTTGGTTTGCATTCGATGTTTTTGATCCAATTTCTTCAAATACAAAATCTAAAATCCCTAATTGATAGAAAACTAAACACTCAGTTGACATAAACCCAGATGTTGACAAAGAGTTTGAGCGTTAGGTGTCTTATTATTGTGTATGTTGGGTGTGAGGTGAGGGTAGTATTGGAAAAAAATGAGGGGTGTATTAAGATAAATTTAGTTCAAAAAGTAAAAGTGGGATTTATTAATGACTGATTTGGTATTGTTGTGCTTTAAAAAAAAAAAAAACTACTTCTACTGTACTGCAAGAATAAGCTCATTTTTGCTGCTTTACGTTTTCAACTTTTTTTCATCCAAAACTGTGAAAATAAACTGTTTTTAAATATTTACCAAACATCTTTTTAAGCTCAGCTTTTTTTAATACCCACTTTTTATAAAAACACCTCAGTACCAAACGGGTACTAAGGATGTGAGTTGTAGTCAACAAAATGTGGGGGTGAATAAAACAACCCAAGACGTCTCAAACGAACTTGGAAAAATTAAGCTGCTAAATTTGACTTGAAAAGGAAAACCAATAGGCATTAAGCAAAACCTTGGAAGAGGTCAAGCAGCCCTTCATCATTGCATGTGTTGAATTTGTACCCGTGGAGAAGTTGCCCTGCTAAACCTAACTAGGAATCATAGACTTTTAAGACAAGCATCGTTGATTTCGACTCGTCAGAGAAGACGGAAAAGGGACCGGAGGTCAATTTGTCTAAAAACAGTGAATGCGTTGTCGGCAGTCGATGAATTCCAATCTTAATGCATGAGAAATGTGAAAAGAATTCAACATGGATGTCACTACATTTGATAAAAACAAGCGGAAAACCAAGTAGTGGGCGCAAAACTGTTATGCAATGTGCATTGTACTACTCATGTCTCGACATTATGAATGAGAGCAATTGATTCCTGGCTTTTCTTCGTACAAACTTTCGGGTGTTCAGTAAGGTCGAAACTTCCTAGCCGCTCTTAACTGCTGTATCCGCTTTTTATCTTGCTCAAACTTGCTCTGGAGCATCATAATTTCTGCAAGGACGGATTGTATTAGTGCTTTTCTGTTTTCTGCACCGCTTTAACTAACAAAAATACATTTATTCAAGTTCTAAAATCAAAACCCTTCGTGTGTGAATTATGAAAGTAAAACAGAAACTGACACCAGAAGCGTATGTAACATGCCATTGCGTGCTCGTTATGGGAGTGCTTTTGAGCATATGCAACATTTTCAGCAAACGAAGTGTGGTTTTTCTGGTTAATAAAAGATGAGCTTTATATGTAAGATTAACATACCATTCCTCTGAGCTTCTTTCCTTTGGAACCGGTAAAAATCTAGCCCAACAACTTCGGTTTGTTTCTTCTTGGCCACCTTGTCCTCCAAAGCCGCCTGGGCGACAGACCCTACTGTAATTCCACTCTCAGCATCCGTGGTCTTCTTCCTTCCTTTATGATGTACTACAACTGTCCATCCTCCCTCTGCAGCACGGGCTTCTCTCTCTTTCTTTTCCTGTATGTGCCACATATATATGTGAACTTATACACATTTGATCAATTGGGAAGTTACATGCAGTGAATATAAACAGATGGACATACACAAACCACACAATATACCATAAAAATAGATTATACATTTCCACGTTACATGGGCATATATGAAGCAAGTTCAGAGGCAGGAATATGCGGCATACATCCATGAAGTAATTATGAGGGCCATAATTCAAAACAAGGAAAAACAATAGAGCAAGCACATCAGCTAACACATTATGTGTTTATAGATGGCTCAATATACATGAAAGTGTTTTTATGATGATCAAGTATGTGCAAATTCTTAAGACGGTGCGAGCAGTGTTATTAAGAGTGAAGGTTCCAATCGCTGGTTTGAATGAAGATACTCTAGTTGCAGGGTAATTGTAGCACCGAAGAGGAAAATTACCTGTTCCAGTTTTTCATCATGTTCAACCATAAACTGATCGATTCTTTGCTGCAGTTCCTTCAATCCAGGTCTACTTTGATGGTATTCCGTAACCCATTCTGTGGATTCAGAAATTCTCAATGAGAGATAAACTATCACCATATGTTGACTTCCGTAAATCAAATAATTTGAAGCTTATTATCCATATGTATACTGATGGGTGTTTGTTGGCTTTAGAATATGAACCGTATACACCAATTAGCATTTTGAAATGAGTAATTCTTACTTTTCATTCCTTTCGAAGAGTCCTCATCCCCCGAAGAAATAAGGTAAACATCAGCCTGATCAGCTTCTACTTCCGTTTCCATTGTCTTTGTGGACTTTGATGAATCAAGATCCCTCTTTTTCTTTTTCAAAGCTTTCTTGGATACGCCTACATTGACAATTATCATTACTAAAAGTAGAATAGCACTGGTTGCAATGAAACTGTAAGAACTCGGATACAAAGAAATGTTCAAATTCAAGAATCGTACTTGGTATTCCTCTTGAGCAGATCTCCCGACCAGCTTCTATTTCCTTTTCCAGCGACTTCACAAACTCTAATGGATTACGATCCTTCTTTTTCTTTTTCTTAGCTTTCTTTGACTTACCTACAGTAAAAAGAAAACCTCAATGAGCACTAGACCTTACAAGTACAACTGCAATAAAAGTTCCATCCAATGACTCGATGCTCAGATCAAACAAAAGCTGCCACTTTACCAACTTCCAATTTCAAACCCTTACCAGCCTCAGTGAACACTTCACCAATTTCAATCTCTTCCTGAGTTTCGAATCGGCTCTGATTGGCAACTCCATCATCTAATAGAAAGAAAATTAGATTAATTAATTAATTAATTAAAAGCAGCAGGAAAGGATTCTACAGTTGACACTTCAAAAGCACCCGAGCATTTTCATACAACTTGAGTGAGAAATTGAAACCAGTGACCTTAGGTTATAGAAAAGAAAACAACTCTGACTTAACATTCTTATCATAACAAAACAGAGACAGGCAAAGATATTGGAAATTTACAAACTTCCAACACTCACCCCCAAAAAGGTACTTGAATGCACAAGGACACGATTAACAAATTACACAATACTGTGGTTCCCCTGCACACAATACGCTATACTGCTACCAACTAGTGGCAACTTACCATTTATTTCATTACAATCGTCATCAGTCTCCGTATTTGGGTGATCATTCTCGCTTTCCACAGCTACATAATTCTTCGCATTCTTTATTTTCCTTTTCTTTGTTAGTTTTGTCTTTTTCTTATCTTTGGCTGGTTTGGCTGAATTATCTACTGAAACAACAAAAGCAAACCGAGAACATAGAGTTCATTCCAAATCTATAGTCCTAACAATGTACTTAACTCATAAGAAACAGAAACCCAATGTACCTTCAACAGAGACTTGGACAACCTTTTGAGAGTCAGCATCGCTTTCCTTCACCCTTTTTCTCTTTCTCATCTCTGCCGATCCTAACATTTTATCTGGAAACAAATTAAATTGCAAAATCACAACTTATTTATACTCTTCGCCGTAACTTTACACATACAGAGAGCAAAAACACTATGCTGGCAAGGACAATTACCAAATTTCTGTGTCTCCACAAATATGAACAATTACACACACATCTACTATTTTTTTAGCGTGTAAATTCCATAATTTCCAAATGTATGTAGCATCTATTTTATATCATTTTCTTCATCATCCAAAAAAAATTTCTAAACAAATGAGCTTTCAATTTAAACATAAAGTTTATCAAGAACCCCAAGTTAGAATCAAGCTAAAACAGTCAAACAGTAAGAAAAAAATATTAAATTTATACGAAATGTGACAATACCCTTTTCAACAATCTCCAAATTTGGCTGGGCAGCCTTCTTGCTCTTATGGGTCTTCTTCTTGTCCTTCATTCCCATCTTTCTGGGTGGTTTTCCGTACCCGGTTCGCAATTACCTCCAGAACCCGACTTTCCTACTCTGAGACTCTGCTTCCTCTTCCTATATGTAAATTTTTCAGGAAACCAATGCAGAAGAAGAAGAGGGTTTTTTGGGCAGAGAACAACGAACAAAAAGATTACAAAAAGTTGGAAACTTTGGAACTCCGCCGATAGCTGGTATCGAATGAAGAGGGGGAAGGAGGCTGTTGCCGCGGGAGTTGAGGGCTTTTGAGTCCCTCGACGACTTGGGTTTAGGTTGTTTATTTTTGGGTCTACAAAATTAATAAATCAGTTTTCAAAAAAAAAAAAGAAAAATTAATAATAATAAATAAATTTAACCCGTTTGTATTGTAATTTTCGAAAATATCAGGGGCTCCCATAATATTTCAGAATTTTACTCTCTACCCCCTTGATTTTCTGTTTTTTCATTTCATTGGTTTGGATGTCGGCACCCAGGCCAAGACGCGTCGAGTGGACATGAGGGGGTGGATGGGGCCAGAATAAATGGGGCTTGAGTGTGATGTTTTTGTGACTTTAACTTATGGGAATATTTTTGTTCGTCATTTTTAAGTGGTGGTAATACTTATTACTTTATTTATCGTAACTTAGATTGTTGAGGATGTTTTGGACCTTTTAACTCCTCAAATCCCTTCAAGATTATTTCTGTCATTTCGACTCCATTTTTAAGAAAAGGATGGACCGCATAAAATTCTCTAAGCTTGCAGTTATTAAATTCCACGTTAGGGAGCCTAATATATATATTTTTTAGTAGTTCATCTAAAGTTTTTGAAATGAATACGATATGTTTGTTAATTAGCCAATATTTTTAGGTTCGTACCCAGGAGAAGTAGAGGACTTTTTAAAAGGAGGTCAAATGTCCAAAACCAATTTATTTCCCCACCTCCTAGTGTAAGTATATCTTTGTATAAAAACAAAAACTTAAAAACTTGTGAAAATGAGGTCAAAAGTCTGAAATAACACTTATGTGCAAGGCACCAAACTATTTGGATGGAAAACTTAAAAAGGATTAGACTGAGATGATAAATTAATAATTTCAAAAAATTGTTATGACAAATCGCGTAAAATTTTGTTCATACGACAAATAAAAAAGAACATATAAATTCATATAACGCTTCAAAAATTTTTTTAGTAAAGATATTTACACGGTTTCTCTATCAATAATGCATCACATGACCACCACATACGTAATGTTCTAGGAGACAATAGTACATTTTTGTCCTAAAGTCTACAGAGACAGAAACTAAAGTCTGTTTCAATAATCTCTCATTGATGAAATTATAATCCCAAATAATCAATAATATGACCGTTAAAGTAGTGTCCATTCACAAAACTGTCAAAACCCTATGAATAGCAAGTGAGCAACTACCACAACTTCCTGGTCAGGAGGCCATCCAAGTGATAACGCGACACGTGTTAGTCTCCAGAACGATCTCAGAGCAAGCCAGTGAATAACTTACGCGTGGCATCACACGTGTCGAGCATTCAGCTGGTCAGAAACCCTATATAAACCTATGTCCGTCTGAGTAATTCATTATCAAGCAAATCAAATTCCATCTCTCAAAACCTTCATTCGATTTCCAAGTGTTTTTGCTCCAGTTTCCAACAAGAAGAAAATGGCTGACAACTCCCAGAAGATCAGCTACAACGCTGGAGTGGCCAAGGGCCAAGCTCAGGTAAACCCTAACTCATCTCCATTTTTCGTTTTGAAACTTACTAGCGTTTTAAAATAGTCACACTGCACTCGTTTCTTCTTTGTTCTTACGATGGGGGTGCATATATGATCGACTATTTTGAAGCGTCAATAACAGTTTTCGTTGCGTTTTCTTTTGCTTTACGATTGATTGTGCATTGAGATTGATCTGTGTGTGTTGTGCTGGATGATTTGGGATTTGACAGGAGAAGACCAGTACAATGATGGACAAGGCCGGCAATGTCGCCCAGTCTGCCAAGGAATCAGTGCAGAGTGCTGGCCAGACTGTGCAGGCCTCGGCACAGGGTGCTGTCGAGGCAGTCAAGAACGCCACCGGCATGAACAAATGAAGCAGGAACTACGGAGCCTCTTCTTAGACAGCTTTGTTAGTGGTTTAAGTGTTTTTAATTTCTTGTTTGTTTGCAACAAAGGGAGCTTTAGCCCCTCGTCGTCGCAGTTGCAGGGATCGATGTTGTCGAGCTCTCATTTGGGTGTGTGCTTACTTAGTGCACACATGGTTTATTTGTTTAGTTTTCTTTGCTTTTTTCTTCTGTTAATGTTTGTCTCTCCTTTGAACAAGGAAGAGGGGCTCCGCTTGTTGTAGTTCTCGCCTAATTAATTCATGAACTGTTTAATTATATCTTAATCTTTTACTTTTATTCCAATGCTCATCTCCATATTTTCATGATATTAAGATAATTAAAACGTTGCTAAAAGGCATTGGTCTTTGCCATGAAAATAAAATCAAATTTGGATCCCTTTTACTCTCCTTCAGAAGCCTTTAGGCCCCTTAATAACAATCAGAAACCTGACCCCCAAAAAAGAAAAAAAAAAAAAAAAAAAGGAAAAAAAAAAGAGAAGAAATGAGGATGAATATTAACACAGTTCAAAGAAAGAAAAGAAAAAAAAAAAAAAAAAAAAAGAGAAGAAATGAGGACGAATATTAACACAGTTCAAAGAAAGAACAATATTGATATAGGAGGCTCCGTCTATATCACAATTCAACGGTCTGTGTGATTTGCTCAGAAGAGGATCCAAATTCAATACCCATGGCTCCGCACTGAATAATCAAGCTTTGAGCAAGTTGGAAGTGGCCTCAAGGGAGGTGGAAACATGGATTGCTATGGTGGGATTAATGGCCATAGAATTTTTACTTGCAACAAAAAGCCCATGTCACAGGTTGCTTGTCTTACCAAAGTCGGCTGAAAGTGTCACGGGCTAACATACATTTTGGTACTCCTCCCACTTGTTTAATCTTGTGTTTGCAATGATCGTTCTTTATTTTATTTAATGGTTTTTCATTTCATCAGAAAAACTGCATGGTTTGATAAAATTTTGGATTTGGAAAGGAAATCTGGAACCTTGAAGGGGAGTTTTTTTAGCAGTAAGCATGATGCCGGTGAAAATCTTTACTCAGGTGATGTTGAAGAGCTCTTACGTCAATTGAACATGTGATGAAGAACAAGGTCACATGACGGTTCAGTTAAAAACCATCAAAGCCATCTTCAATTAATTAAAATTTCAATGAAGAATTATGTGAAAAAATGAGTGTAGAAACACAGAGAACGAAAAAAAGGAACGATTTAAAGTATTTAAATACGTCATGAACAACATCTTCTTATGATTTGTAAAAGAAAAACTATCAAACTAAATTAGATAATTAAGAGGTAGAAAGTGAACTAAGCGAAGGTAGGTTCTATAGCATATAGCAAGGGAAGAACGAAAGCCAAATAAAGTAAAGTAAGAAGAAGGAAAAGAAAACAAAAATTACAAGAAAAATAAGTAAACAATTAAGTGTATTGGAGACACAATACAGTACATTAAATGTTTTTTATTTTTTAGTACATTGATATTTTTATACTAGAACGAAAGAGAGTTCGATTAAACTACACAATGAGTAATCTAATTTGGTAACAAATGTTCTAATACCTTGAACTTTTAACTTGGAATTTTCTTTTAAGTTTCAAAAGAAACTGTGTCTGATTTTTTTTCAGTCACCGATGCAAGTGGGATTTGAAAACTAAACGAGGTTACTTTTGGTATTTCACAAACGTTTACTATTCTATCGAGAAAAAGCTCTTCCAAAAACCCTAATCTCCTCTCTCAGACGCAAATTCATCCTTCGTCGCTACCTCACCCGGAAAACCCTGATCCAAGCGATGAGACAGCAATGGCAATGGCGTTTGCTGCTCCTCCGAGCTCACCGCCGCCCTCCGCCGCACGAATTCATAAAACCGTCGTGCTCTCAGGTAAACTCCCAATTCAATCTCCATTCACTTAGCTCTTTCACTTCTCTGTTCCACACTGACACTCTCGACCCAAAGCTTTCACCTTTGCTGCCCATTTTCAATTCCCAATTAGCGAAATCGATAAACTCTAGAAACCCCTTGTCCCGCAGCCTCTCATCAGAGCCGGCACTCGAGCTCAAGGACTCCGATCATGGAGTTGTAGCTGATATTTTCGCTAGTCCTAAGGGTGCGGATGAGATTAGGAAAGAATTGGAGTCGAACAATGTTGTGATTAGCCATGAGTTGGTGTTGAAGGTTTTGAAGAGCCTCGAATCGAGCCCCGATGTGGCGAGGAGGTTTTTCGATTGGGTTTTGTCATGTGAAGGTGAGAGATTGAGCTCCAAGTCGTATAATTCGATGCTGAGTGTTTTCGGGGTTAATGGGTTTGTGAATGAATTTTGGGATTTGGTTGGTGTTATGAAGAAGAAAGGGTATGGTGTTTCAAAATGGGTGCAGGATAAAGCTTTAGAAAAGTTTGCGAAGGATGGGTTGGATGGTGATGTTGAGAAGTTGAGAGCGGTGTTTGCAGCGGGGTCTACTGACAATTCCCCGGATAAGATTTGTTCGAGGGTGTGTAAGATTGTTAGAAATGAGGTGTGGAGTGAGGATGTTGAGAGGCAAATACGGGATTTGAGTGTTGCATTTTCTAGCGACGTGGTTAAAATGGTGTTGGAAAGTCTTAGTACAGAGCCAGCAAAAGCACTGATATTTTTTCGGTGGATGGAGGAGACTGGTTTGTTGAAGCATGATCAACAGACTTATAATGCTATTGCTAGGGTATTGGGCAGGGAAGATTGCATAGATAGGTTTTGGAAAGTTGTTGATGAAATGAGGAGCAAGGGGTATGAACTGGAGATGGAGACGTATGTTAAGGTTTTAGGGCGATTTTGTAAGAGGAAAATGATGAAGGATGCTGTGGACTTGTATGAGTTTGCAATGGCTGGCGCAAATAAGCCTTCGGTGCATTGTTGTACCTTTCTGTTGAGGAAAATAGCAGGTGGTAAGCTGCTGGATATGGGTCTATTTTCTAGAGTTGTGAGGATTTTTGCAGATAATGGGAATGTGCTGACAGATTCGATGCTCAATGCAGTCCTTAAGTCGCTGAATGGTGTTGGTAGATATGGACAGTGCAATACGGTTTTCAAGGCAATGGAGGAAGGTGGACTTGTAGCTAGTGGTGGTTTACAGAGTACGATTGCATTCCGGCTTAGTAGTGCTGGCAAAAAGGGTGCAACAAGTGAATTCATTAGTGATATGGAAGCTTCTGGGCGCAGTTCGGATTACAAGATATGGTCGTCCTTAATTGAGGGTCACTGTGTAGCTGGTGCTCTCGATAAGGCTTCCGATTGTTTCCAAAAGATGCTTGAAAAAGAGGGGGCTGCCTCTGCTGGTTATGCTTTTGATATATTAGTAGATGCATATTGCAGAAAGAACAGGGCCATAGATGCATACAAGTTACTCAATGATTCGGTCAATGAAAGGCAGCTCGAGCCATCGCATACCACATACAAGTTGTTGATAAGTAAGTTATTGGTTCAGGGTGGATTCAAGGATGCTCTGAATATTCTGGGTATGATGAAAAATCATGGATTCCCACCTTTTATTGATCCATTCGTTGAGTATGTATCAAAGTCTGGAACAGGTGAAGATGCTTTAGCTTTCCTGAAGGCGATGACTTCAAAGAGGTTTCCATCTACCACCGTCTTTCTCAATGTATTTGAAGCTTATTTCAAGGCTGGACGGCACAGTGAAGCACAGAATTTCCTTTCCAAATGCCCAGGCTACATCCGCAACCATGCTGATGTGTTGGATATATTTTATTCTGCTAAATCTGGAGAACGTGCTGCTCCCACCGCGGTGGCTGCTTAGGCTTTGTTAGACTGTATCTTGTAATGTCTTTCACGACGATAATGTAGCAGAGCGTTTGTTCGAAAAATTTTGGTTTTGAATATTTCCTTTGCTCCTCTAGTATTGATGATTGTGGGAGTATTTTCGACTTTTTTGGTGCCTGGAAAATGAAATCAATTGTATTCAAGTTCCCAAAGGTTCTTTCTTTTTCATTTCTTATCAAATGACCAAGTTGTCGATGTGATCACATCGATCTAATGTGCCTCGCTCGATTAGGCTTCCAAAAGACATTAGATCTCTGTTGAATGCTACCTCTTGCAAATATCTCTTCTTATTTTCACCAATGTTTTTGAAATGAAGTTACATTGACAATAGCAACTTCTTGTTCCTTTCCAAGAGGTTGCGGGAGAAGCATCGGTTCACAGTGGCAAATTTTTATCTAGGGTTCTGGAGTAAGATCCTGTATAGACCTGTCCCCAAAATTATGATTTTTATAATTTTAAAATGTGAATTTACAAAAATGCCCTTCGAGGCATGTACGTCGACTTATGTTAACCGTCTTGTTGTGTCATGTAAGATTTGTTTTCTTGGCATATCCTCATAGTACTCGTTGCTATGAATGCATGGGCCAAACGGAACGTGATTTGGAGTTATAATGAAAGCGATATTAACGTTTAAAGTCGGGGGTATTTTAGTAAATTGATTATTTTCTAGAAAGCTCTAGATTTTTGAAGCAAAATCTGGAAAGCTACGTGTGTGGTCCATAGCGAATGAAAGGAGAAACAGACGGTTGGGAGAAGAGATAAAGGAGAGAAATGAGGTGCATGATGCCCAATCAGAAAGAAGAGAAAGAGAGAGTGACCAATAGGGAGAGCAGGAAATGAAGGGAAATGAGGGAGAGGTGAAGCACGGGATCACCAACCCGTTTTCTTTTTCCTGACCCAACTTGGTTTCGCCGTCTTCTCCGGTGATTTTTGTCGATTTTCCCATCAAATCGCCTTCATCCACCACCTGTAAAACCTTCCATGACCTCCCATCTTCCATTTCCAGTCAAATTTCACTAGGTTTAGCCTTGAATTCGTGAAGAACGGAACCCGTGGGTTCCGGGGTTGCCATAACGGAAATCTGATGATTGTGAAGCTAACTCAGCCAATTACCACCACCAAGGACCCTCTACCCCAACAACAAGGCCTATGCATTGGTTGATGCGTTGGAGTGAGCTTGGAGGTCAAATCAAAACACGCCTAAATCTGGGGTTTCGGCGGGTTCAAGTGAAATTAGGGCTTTTCTCGGCCAAATTGGCCTTAGTTACAGGTATGAAAGTTGCTCTACTCATCGATATCTTCATTCCTGTAAAATTTGGGAATTTTTGGAGTTATTCAATTTTCCGGCAAGTTAGGGCGGCCGGCTGCCATGCGCAGCTGCATGTGGAGGAAAAACCCGAGGTCCTTCCTTAGGTTTTTCGACGTGCCAAATTCGAATATGTCATCCGTTTTCCCAATTTATAACATTTTAGTATAGTTTTACTATAAGGCCCCTAATTGTGTTTAGGCACGTTGGCAGGAAGTGACGTCATCCTTACTAGTTCGAGCGGTTCTCAGGTAATAAAATCAGTGAGTGGACCCCTTCTTAACTTATATGTTTTATTAAAATATTCGTCTAACATGCATTGCATATTCCATGATTTGAATATGTTTTATATTATGCATTATGGACTTTTATAATCATGATTTACAAAATAGTTTAATTTATCGAAATTAGGTTTTATTAAAGGTTATGAAATATCGGATTTGCATATATAAATTTCTATGGATTTGAATATGGTTATTTCTTGGATTTATGAATATGATTGACCTTGGATTTAAGAATATGTTTTATATATGAATATAAGTTACTTTAAGGATTTAAGATTATAATTTACTATGAATTTACGAAATGAGGTTTTGAACTCCAGTGTTTTAATATGAGTTTTGAAATATGTTTTGGGTGCTTATCTAGTGGGTTATCATACGACACATCTACACATCACGGGTATAGATGTCTATGGCCATACGACACAAATGATGGAGGAGTGAGTTATGATATATATTATACCCCTAGCTTCACTGCTGAAAACGGTGTCGAACAGATTCACTAACCACGACTAGTGTCAATGTGGATGTTATGCTATTTGATTCAGCTTCACCTTCGGATGATGGACATGTTATTTAGCTTCACCTTCGAGTGATGGACAAGTAGTGCCTTCGGGTGACTATGATACCCCTAGTTGAGTACTTCACTTATGAGATTTACGGATTTGCTTTCGGTGACGTTTTCAGCATTATTGAGCATGATTTTACACTACATGTTTTACAAAGGTTTTGCGTGGCATGCTAGAGTTTTTATAACACCTATATGTAGTATTATATATGTTTTCAAAACAAAGGGTTAGTATGTTCGTAAAGAAAATGGTTTTCCTTTTACTAGTATTATTATTATAAACTTTGGTCACCTTTTTAGTTTTTGCGCCCCCTCAGGAATTAGGATTGAGGCACATGATCTCGACGTCAGAACATTTCGATACAGTTATCCTTGAGTCTTCTTCGTGTAGATATTATTCCATTGTCCATGTCTTTTCCTAGAAATTCTTTCGTATTATTCTTAGTAGTTGTATGCTCTAAACACGTTCCTAAAGTGGTTTATTTCATTCTAAATGCATATCTTTTATTTGTATGCATGTTTTAAATGGTTTCGTCACCCTCAGATATCGGCCAGCATGTGCCTATTTGGTATGTGGGGATATCGGGGTTGGGATGTGTCAATGCCGAACTCATAAACTTTTTATTCTTCTTTAACAGTACTTGTTTCCTGGAGCTGATGAAAGTTGTTTCCTGGAGCTGGTTATACCTATCATCGGAAATTAAATAACACATCGAACGTCTTTTCTGTTCTGCTATGAATTGTACTGGTCTTAGCAATAGATTTTGCCATAACATACCGAGCACCGAAGATTGTTGTTAGTACCTCAGTATGTGTTTTCATCAAAGTTTGAACAGATTTACGAAGATTTCCGGAAAAATGTGATCTTGAATTGAAGTTGGGAACTGCATCTTTAGTCTCAGTTGCAGTTCACAGGCATGCATCTTGATATCTTTCTTGTGTTCTTAATCTTTTTGTTGTTTTCAAGACAATGCTAAATTTGCCTCATTTTATCTTCTTTTCTGTTTCGAAATTCGTTTTCGAGCTTGCTAAATCTGCTCTTTTTTTCCTTTATTCTGCATCCCAAAAGAGATTGATGAGGTGAAGACAGGCATGCCAATCTGGAAACCAAAATGGATGGAATGAGACTTTTCAACGAGCAAAACGCGATGAGTGCGACTGAACATGCCGTTAGGTACAACATTGGGACTTTTTTTCCCAATTCACACCAGACATATCAAATTACTACATTTGAGTTTTCCGGGAAGTGCAGGAAAGAAACAAGACAAGTGATATTCTTACAGACAATGTGACAAAATGCCATCCTCTTTTGATGATAAGTAGCTATTGGTTCCCTGCACGGTTTCCATCTCTGTTTTGACAACAAGTTTTCTGCAGTGGGGGACCAAAATTTGGACCCTTGAAGCAAATGCAATGCATAGGAGTTTTACACACACACACACACACACACCTCTCTCAGGTTTTAGGCCCATCAACTCTGCATGCTACGCATATGCGAGTGAGTTAGGACAGTGTGCTCGTCTCCTCACATCCAAGTTTGATATTTTTCTCCTCGTAAACTGTTGTGGTTTATAATACATATGATCTCGTCAAAGAAAAAAAAAAAAAAAAAAACCCTGGAGACGGCAATATAATGTGATATCTTAAGGGCTTAAACCTTGTAACCCCGTAATGACTTTTTACTTTCTCAGTTACATGTGAGGGAATCAAACCCTGTGCTTGTTCTAATCCTAATCCGTTACCCTAACTTTCCCTCACCGTTCGAGCTAACCCCACACGCTTGCAACAAAGTATGCTTTAGCACTACGTCGGCAGTGCGCAAAAATCATATCCCACGGCTTAAATTAAAGTGACGAGTAACTGTTTAGGAGGCAAATTTTCCCACCCAAAAAGGAAAAAGAAGCCAAAGGTGAGGATGAAACATTATTGTGTAACAGTTTTAAAGAGATAAAAAGTTAAAAGAGAGACGCGTGAGCAAATCGACAGAATAATTTTGGTAAAAAGAAGAAAAGATGGGGCATCGTGTTCCCTTAAACTTAAGCTTTATCCAAGCAATCTATCTCTGGTAATCTGAATGTCTTTCGTCTTGTGAACATGGTAATCAGTTTAGATTTCTTGTGAATGAGACCTCACATCACATAACTTCAGGTAATGGTCACCTTCTAGAGCCCTAGAGTCGGAATAGAAGAACGTCGTCGTCCTCTTGTACATCCCTGTATATTTATGGTATTTGAATTGAATAAATCAAAGAGAAATTAAGAGAAAAACATGAACCTAAATGTGTAGAAGGAGAAAAAAGAGAATGCGAAATTTTTTTCCTATATAGAATAACGTTAAGAAAACTAGACAACAGTGCAAATGTTGTTGATGTTACATTTCTATTTATTTTATACTAGAAATGATACAAAAAGTGTTCATACATGATCCTAAGAATAATGTTTTCTTTGTCATAGTGCGGTATCTTATGTTGTCGGACTTTGAATATAAGATCGTGCATTGAAAAAATTGAATGGCATAATATCATTGATCTCTTTCTTCAATATTAATTAGGAAATTTGAGAAATGTTTTGGCTATCTTGTACACTAAACCGTTCCTCACAAGGATTGAAGAGAAAAAAAGAGAGCTTATCACCAAATGAAACCAAATCATGTTTTTTTTGGTTGGTAAAAAACCAAATGATGTTCATTCTAATGGGAATCATTATTGCAATGAGGAGGGTCAGAAGCTCACTCTTAGGGCCACACAAAAGATGCACATGTCCCGTAAAAAAGCACTTTTGATACCTTCACAACATAATTACTACTAATCTTAATTTTACAGAATACACTATTAAGATGTTAATTTGTAACACTTCTCTGATATACATCAACCATTAATTATAAATTTAGAGCTCATCAATATAATACTGCCAATGAACATTGTCATGATTAGTTTTCCCTTTGGATTCCATGCCTTGGAGAATAAAATGGAATTATGGATCCACTTATTTTGTGACCAGTGGTGGTGGGCATCAAATTTTTACTGTGATAAGCACAATTTTTGTGACATATGGGGTCTATAATTTCTTAACATTTTAGCTTTGTTTTTGTTGTGTAATGTCATATACTCAATGGCTTAGCCAAAGCAAGAAGCATGTGGGTTTGTACTTGGTTTGATCAAATGGAGGGAGAACTGCAGGAGTGGAGAGGCCTAAAGGGTTCTTTTCTTCCATTGAATATATTCAACTAAGTGGAAACAACAATTATTTCCTACTCATTTGGATGATGCCCTTGTTTCACTCTCCCTTGTTATAATCTACCAAAGCACATAAAAACAAGAAGTAAGTTATTCAAATATAACCATCCAAGTGGTTAGAAATGAAAATTATGAGTAATTTGTTTTTAAAGAAAAATTAAAATTTAACGTGTTTAGAAAACATAATAGCGGTGGTCAAATGTGGAACCCTATAAATGTGATAAGTGTAGCATTTTTAATATCATTGTTTTAATGAGTTACTTTTGCATGCGTGGCAAATTGTGATTTACATGTAAATAGAATGACCCCTTAAATATAACGAGCCAAGTAGATTAGCAAGTCAACTAACTTGTTCAAGTTCTTTCAACCTACTCTTGATATAAGATCGTTCACCTTATCGTAAGCAATCATTAAAAAAGTAAGCTACCTTGCTCGGTTAAAAGTCTTCTGTAAAAATTGAAAACCTGTTGTAACCCTCTTTTCCCATGGAAATAGATACAATAAACAATGAAAGATGTATTTAGTTTTTTGGTTAGAAAACAATGATTCATGTTAACTTTCATAATTCGTAGTGCTTTAAATTGATGGTTTTGAGAAAAATGGGGTTTGCTGCTGATGATTGTTCTTTGCGAAATCCAAGTATAATTTATAAACAAACCCCTTGCGGAGAGCATAAGCAAACAACTCCTAAGTTTGTCAAATAAGACAACTTGCCCACTATTTAAAAGGGACCCGACAGATCATGTGATATTTTCTTAATCAAGAGAGCCTTGCTAAATTGATCATTTTACCTAACACAAATTCGTAAATTATAAATTTATGAAAAAGTTCAATCAAATTAGCTTATACACGAACAATTAGATTATGAAGGAAAATATTGCTTAATCTCGATTTTATTGGAGAAGTTCATGGCTTCAAATTTCATGATATTACCTAAATACGACACGCAATATTCGATTCCTAAAACCCTAATTAAATCACAGACATAAAAGATGTACCAGCTAATTTTCTTTATCATGCAAATGGTAGTGCATGTCTTGTTCGATCAGCATCCCACCTAAATGCTCACTGCATGCCCACATTTTCATTCAAACTACGTCTCTGATCCTTATGAATATGTGCTTTCCTCCTTTATGGAAGTGCATACAGCTGCCGATCAATCCCCCTTCATGCAGGTCAATCAGAAAATGGCACGTGTAAAACCTAAAATCCAAATCGCCTTCTCTGTGCACTTGTCTTCTTCCCGCAGGCTGTTCTTTCTTCAGCATCATGCAGCACCCACATTGTATCTTTGCCTCACTGTCAACCTTCTTCGGCGATAAAGGAGAAAGGGGCATGCAATGGGGACAAAGGGTGGGTTAAAACTTTATCTTTGGGGTTTATTGGATTCAAAATCTAAGTTCATGGTTCTGAGAATCTGCTAGTGGGAATGCCCTTTTTTGGAGGATTGAGGTGATGTGAAGAAAGGGACAATAATGCCTTAGCCCCCACCCCCATATATATTATTTATTTTCTCTGTTCTCTTATTCTGTTTGGTCAATTTTCATTTTCTTTTTAGTCAGTGTATTTGGCCATTTGGTGCATTGGGTCCTAACACATCAAAAACCAATATTAGAAAATGAAACTACAACTAAAAGCTCAAGGATAAAGAAGAGTTGAAGTATAATCGGTTGCATAAAGTTAGAGGAAATTTTTGCTTGTCTTAATTGACTTATCCGATTTAAATTTTGTGTGTATAATTTCTCTTGTCTAGAAAATTATTTTCATTTTGGTGTTATAGATAATCCATGGGTACAAGAACAACAATTGTTGTCTGCAGCTTGAAGCATGAGAACGAACTGGTATGATTTCGTCTCAAAATAATTTAGAGGGAGAGGGAGAGGGTGAGGGAGAGGGAGAAAGACATGTCGTGGAGAAAAGCGATTTTGGACGGCAGCTTTTGCTTTTCACAGTTTCTGCTTTTGAACAAGTCGTGGGGAATGACCGTTTGCTGAAGGTGAGAAGAGGAGAGCATGTGTGAGACTGTTAGCAGATAGTGCTTTGTGGAATCTTAAAAAGCTTCCAGCATTTCCAGCACAAAAGCTACCAAAATTATGATTAAAATATTTATTTAGTATTTCAAAAATATAATTGTGCATTTAAAAAAATTTATATTAAAAAAATACTCGTATAAAGATTGTACAATAAAAATTTTGAAGCGTCAATAATAGTTTTCTTAAAAAATACCTACATATAGTAATATATTTAAGTGTGTGTGTGTGTGTATTGATCATATTGCTAACTGATTTTATGGTAGAATCTCAACTTTTTTTATAGTATCAGAGTAGGTTGTCATGCATGAAGCTTAACGGCCACCCGTGCTCTATATCACCTTTGCGTTGTCCATATGTTCGCCACACCTAAGAGAGTATGTTAAGAGTATCAATCTCACGTCAAGAAACAAATGACCTTACATGTGCTTGCAAATAAATAAATTTCTTTTTATATTATCAATTAATTTTATGTGAAATTTTTGTCTATATATAAATACATATAATATAATTATTCTACATGATGTAAACAAAAAATTCAAAACAAAATTGTAACAAAGATCCTCTCATGGTGGTTGTTGACCAAATCCAGCGTTACTTTCATGTCCTCCTCGAGATTCTCACATTCTCATATTTCTTGAAAAAGGAAGACGATGTTTTTGTAATTTTACTGGATGGCCAAGCGCAGGGAATGTTGGATTCCTTATGGTCAAGCAAGGCATTTCCCAGTTCCACATACATACTGACCATTTTGTGTCCAATATTTGAGAAAAATTCAATAAATATCACCGGATAAAAATAAATAAATAAAACAACACCCATCTCTAGGTAAATGATATGTATGACTCATAGAAATTTGGTTCTATATGTAGAAAAGTTTATAATATTATTCAGCATTTTACTTTTTTTGTTTTCTTGACTACCCAATTAACGCTCATAATCACAGAAAATATAAATTCATTGCTTTATTTCTAATTTTTAAAAATATTTGTCATTCAATGGGGATTATCTTCACAATAGAGAGATTATGTTATGTATCAATTTCGATCTCATTCTTTATTTATCTCCTTCATCACGTAATTAGAGAGATGACAATAATAAAATAATTACGATAAAGATTTACCCTTACAGTTGCTTGTCTTCCTGCTTTGCGGAAAAAATGTGTACACTTTATGAGAGAGAAAGGAGAGAATGACAGTGAAACTTTTACATTCAAGATCTTGCACGCTTACAACAGATTAAACTCTTTAAATACTATTTGATACAAGCTGATTGTTCGTTTTTTATTTTGCGGGTACAAAGCATAGTTCACTAGCTTAACATATTTATGTGTTTTTTCTTTTTCTTTTTATTAAAAAAAAAAAACAATTGATGATAAGTCACAATTATCTACTTTTTCCAGATCTAAATAGGGCAAGTTGTTCTTTCCTTTTAGGATTAGAGCCATTTTTATATATAATTTTCTTCACAGCCTCATGACTCGAATACAGGCATGCTAGTGTCTTTTTTATACCCCAAAAGAAGTGGCTTTTTCATGGCTCCTGACACAGTTTCGGTGAATGGGATTCCCGCATGGACAGAGAGAGATAAGAGAGAAACGAGAAAAGTGGTTGCAACTTGAAGAACAAACAACTTAAACAAAACAAACCCAATTGAGATTTTGTCATCCCAAAGGCACTCTCAGTCACCATAAGCAGCTTTCAGCTTCCGGGTTATGCTTGTGCCATTTGAAGCAATGGGAATGGGGATGGGAATGAGAATGAGAGGAACAAACGCTGCTCTCTGTTTTCTGGCATTTCTATGGTCTTTCACATGTGTGAATGGGTTGCTTTCTCCCAAAGGTGTAAACTTCGAGGGTAAGTTGCAAAATTTTCTGCAAACAATGGATTGCTTTCTTCAAAAGCTGTAAACTTTGGAGGTAACTTGCAGAATCCTCACCTGGTTTTTTTCATCTCAGTGCAAGCTTTAATGGGCATCAAGGGCTCTCTGGTGGATCCTCATGGAGTTTTAGATAACTGGGATGATGATTCTGTTGATCCATGTAGCTGGACTATGGTCACTTGCTCTCCTGAAAGCCTAGTTATTGGCCTGTGAGTATTTTTTAAGGAAAATTTAAATTTTATGAGAGCTACATGTTTAATTAGTAGAACATCATAAATTTAATGAGTGGATTATGAAGTAATTGGAATTTGAAATGGTGTTTTTGCAGAGGGACTCCAAGCCAAAGTTTATCAGGCACTCTTTCTCCGAGCATAGGCAACTTAACAAATCTTCAGATTGTGTAAGTTCTCCAAAAAAATGCCAAATCTCAATGCTTTTTGTTGTTCTCATGGAATTAATTAAGTTATGGTGTTTCATTTTTCTGAATTTCTGCTACTTTACAGGCTATTACAGAACAACAACATAACGGGAGTGCTCCCTTCGGAGATTGAGAAGCTCTCAAAGCTTCATACACTTGATGTTTCTAATAACATGTTTACTGGGGCAATTCCTTCCTCTTTAGGTCACCTGAGAAGCCTCCAATACTTGTAAGCATTTTGTGATCCATGCATTCAAGTATATTTCAAGTATATTTTCTACTTGTTTTATAAGGCTAATGTAGATTATTTCAACTGGGTTTAGGAGGCTCAACAATAACAGTCTCAGTGGAGCATTTCCGGTTTCGTTGGCTAACATGAGCCAGCTTGCCTTTCTGTAAATCTCTCCCCCCTATCCATCTTATTCTTTTATATGTATATATGTATATATGTATATACACACCCACATATATATAGTTTTAAAATTGTGTTTCTGAAGTGAGATTTTGTTATTCTGTGGTTTATGCAACCCAGAGACCTGTCCTACAATAACCTGAGTGGCCCTGTACCTAGATTTGCTGCTAAAACATTCAAGTAATCTCTCTCTCTCTCTCTCTCTCTCTCTCTCATATAACAGAGAATTGATTGCTAAACTCTCTCCACCCCCTTCTCTTTGCTGGTGTTGCAGCATAATTGGAAATCCTCTGATCTGCGCAACGGGTCTGAAGCAGAATGCAATGGGACGACACTGTTGCCAATGTCGATGAACTTGAATACTACACAAAGTACGGAGTTTGCATGAATTCATTATGCAAAGACTATGCATAAACTACTTCCGGCTTCTACAAAGTTCACAATTTCAATTTTTCGTGCGATACTTGTTCTGATCCTGACTTCATTTTGATTTTTCCTTTTCAAGCTGCTCTTCCCGGGGGACCTAAAAGTCACAAAATAGCACTTGCATTTGGTTTGAGCCTAGGGTGCCTCTGCCTGATTGTTCTTGGATTTGGAGCAGTTATATGGTGGAGGCAAAGGCGCAACCAGCAGGCATTCTTCGGTGTTAAAGGTACTTTTTGGATGAAAAAAATCTGTGTTCTGAGAAAGTAATTGGATAACCAACCCTCTACTTAGTGCCGTGTATTATGAAATTTCAGACCGGCATCATGAGGAAATTTCCCTTGGGAACCTGAAGAGATTCCAGTTCAGAGAACTTCAGAATGCAACACACAACTTCAGCAGCAAGAACATACTAGGAAAAGGTGGATTTGGACATGTCTACAAAGGAACTCTCCAAGATGGGACTTTTATAGCGGTCAAGCGGCTTAAAGATGGCAGTGCACTTGGTGGAGAGATTCAATTCCAGACCTGAAGTTGAAATGATCAGCCTAGCAGTTCATCGCAACCTTCTCAGGCTATACGGCTTTTGCATCACACCAACCGAAAGACTTCTAGTTTATCCATACATGTCCAATGGCAGCGTTGCTTCCCGTCTCAAAGGTAAGATATCAACAGCTCAAACTAACCGTAATCGGTCCATTTAGAATCCCTATGATGTGCAGCTAATTGCAAATCTTGTCGATCTTTTTACAGGGAAACCGGTCTTGGATTGGGGCACTAGGAAGCGGATTGCCTTGGGAGCTGGAAGAGGATTGTTGTACCTTCATGAGCAGTGTGATCCGAAAATAATCCATAGGGATGTGAAGGCTGCAAATATACTTCTTGATGACTACTGTGAAGCTGTGGTGGGAGATTTCGGGTTGGCAAAGCTTCTGGATCACCAGGACTCACATGTCACCACAGCTGTTAGGGGTACTGTGGGGCATATAGCCCCTGAGTACCTCTCCACCGGCCAGTCCTCTGAGAAAACTGATGTTTTCGGATTTGGGATCCTTCTACTTGAACTAATCACAGGCCAGAGAGCACTGGAATTTGGCAAGGCATCTAACCAGAAAGGAGCAATACTTGATTGGGTGAGCACACAAATCTCATTCACTTCTTACCATTGCATAATGCTTGTTTGGTGGCTGGGACTGGAAATAATTGGTATTAAGTCCATGCTAGTACTGTAGAGTCCTACCGCTCCGGATCGAACTTGGAAGACGTAATATGTTGGACTGTCGTCCAATTTGATAAGCCAGACCCGAGATTTTACTTCATTTATCTGACGTCTATCGTTTATTTGATCACAGGTTAAAAGGATTCATCAGGAAAAGAAGCTTGAGATGCTTGTGGACAAGGATCTGAAAACCAACTATGACAGGATTGAGCTTGAGGAAATGGTTCAAGTGGCACTCTTGTGCACACAGTACCTTCCCAGCCACAGACCGAAAATGTCTGAAGTGGTAAGGATGCTTGAAGGTGATGGACTTGTGGAAAGATGGGAAGCCTCTCAGAAAGCAGAATCAACAAAGTCCAAAGCCCCCGAGTTCTCGTCCTCGGACAGATACTCCGATCTCACTGACGACTCTTCGCTACTAGTACAAGCAATGGAACTCTCCGGTCCACGGTGATTTCCAACTTGAAAATTTTCTGCTTCAAAAGAAAGCATATCATAGCAAGAAGTTATAGTTGAAGGCTTGAAGCTATTAGGTTACATGAAGATTATAAGTTTATGTTGTATATTAGCAGTTTGCCAGAGCTCCGAAAATTTTGATGTTTTCTTTCCAATTGTACAGATTCTTCTTCAATAAATTGACAATCTTAGAATCATAGTTCTTCGAAATCTTGATTCCTGAGCTGCAAAAAGAAAGTAATTTCCGGGAGACCGTTTCAGCGGTTGCTTCTCTCCAACCGTTTCAGCAGGTAGCTGCTCTTCAAAAGTGTTAATAATGTAATCAAACCAATAAATAAGGGATTAAAAAGCTTGTTATATGCTAAAGAAAGGTACCAAATTCAAGTTAAACCACAAAAACACAGGAATGTCGATGAGATGAGATTTATACGCTTAAGTTGAAGATTTCAACATCTTTTGAAGCCGGCACAGATTGCTCCAGCACTTCTGTTGGAAGAATTCTGCTTCCATAATGTACAATGGTCATTCTTTTCAGCACGGGCGAATGAGCGAGTAAGAGCTGGATGAATATTGTCTCATTTTGAACATTTTGTACCGCTCTTATCTTCGCTACTTTAAGTTGTTCGAAGTAATGGTTTGACAACTTAGTGATGAGGAAGTCAGCAGCAGGTCTGGAATACTCAGTTGTATCAGCAACCTGTAAGTCCAAAAGCGAAAAACAAATAAAAAACCAAAGTCATCTTGTAATTCAAAGTCCTAGAGCAGATGAAAAATGCTTGAACAAAATTGCTAGTTGTTCAGAGAAACTAACTGAAAGGTGTAGTTCCTCTAAATTTGGAGCACTTCGAAAAATGCAGACACAAACCAACACTTCTATCAAAGAATCCAACCGTACGTCCTTGAGTTCGAGAACTGACAGATGCAGAAGCAGAGTAGGAAGTTTGTCTGGTACGTCAATATTGCCCAGAAACTAGAAAGTAAAAACAAATGAAAGCAATGATCATATCAGACACAAACAAATGTTATGCCAACCAAATAGCAAAAGAGGCCAAACAAAACTGTGAGAAAAAAAAAAAAAAGAGAAACATTACCGCTAGGATGGCACTGGATAAGGTCAGTTTCTTGATAGCATGCAGACATCCTATAACCCTGATTAGATTCCCTCCTTCGGACCCAAAAGATCGCGGTATGACCCTCACCCTCAAGCCAATGTCAACGCTAGCCAGAGATGGACTATTTTCAAGATATATGTCGTCAAAGTTGGAATTTACTTTCAGATACTTGAGATTCGCGTTGCCAATTCTAAGAACAATTTGATGATCAATGTTCAACAGTGTCAATCTTTCAAGAACCGGGGAGTTTAGAACCAAACATTCTAGCGTGCCACCAGTTACACAAACTTCATTAAGATGGAGGTTCGTGAGGCTCTTGAATCCGATAGCTTCAGAAGATGGCTTGATTCTACAACCAAAAAGCTCCAAGCGATTCAAAAGTGGACATGAGAATAGACAAAAAGGCAAGTTAAAACGTTTTATAGTGTCAAACTCCTGCAGGATGAACTCCTTGAGACCTTTGTCAGTTAAATAATGAATCCACTGGTCTAAATCAGAATGGTCTGGCCGGCAATAAGCAGCGAGCTTAAACTTTTCTATAGGACCGGTGTGATGCAATTGAACTCGACGAAGAATTTCCATGATCGATTCCCATCTTGCGACTTTGTCTGATATCCGGCTTGGTATGCATTTGTCATCAATAACAAACTGTGAAATGCCAGTCCATTTATGTCTCCACCTGCTGGATAAGATGCTAGTCCATCCAATAAATCCCAAGGCAGATTGCTAATTCTATCTTTTTTTGTAACGCTTTCCATCTCAGTAATCTCATTACCAGAAGACTGATCAATTCTTTTTGTATTCCTCTTCAATACTTTCCCAAGCAGCTCTCTCAGACCATAACTGCAGTTGGAAGCTGGCATTTATCCGAATCCAACCTGTGACATCGTTTCATGTAAAATACCAAAATTTGAAACTACCCATTATCCATTTAAAACCGAAGATTTTCAGCAAGGTATCATGATCTGCTGCCAGGACGAATAAGCAAAATAAGGAGTATAAAACAAAACTGCATACAATTTAGTGCTTGAAGACATCCCCAAGCAAAAAAAGAAGTGTGTTCAATGACACCACAAAGCAGACAACTTTTTTTGCCGAAAAACAATCAAATACATTTTGTAAAATGTACATAACTCTAGCACATATAGAAAAAATACAACAACAACAAAGCCTTATCCCACTAAGTGGAGTCGGCTATATAAATCCCACAACCCCATTGCGATCGGTTTTGCAACATATAGAAACAATAAATTTGAAAAATTTACTTAGGTAATCCAATTATAGGCACATCCCAGATACAATAATTCTGAAAAAAAAATTAAAGAAAATCAAGTCCTAAAAATGGGGAAAAAAATATTCCATTTCTTTGTGATTAATTCTGATCAGATAAAAAAGATAGAAACTTTAAGGTATGATTTTTCAGTAGATCATCGAAATTTGATTCATCGTTATGTCGTTGATATTTAATTTTGATCAGTTCAGCAATGGAAACTTCTGATAATTTTAGCCAAATTCCCAAACTTTTACTAACCAACTAAGCATATGAAGACGATCAAATCCAAAATCATACTGAGAAAAACCCAGCAGTAAAAAATTCTCAAACTTCCACATCAATCTTGGTATTTTATGCAAAGAAACCAACCCACAAGTATTTATTGTTTATTCAAACAAACATACATAGAGGACGGAGGAAGGAGGAAGACCGGAGAAACAGAGTGAGTGATCGGCGGTGGCGGCAGCAACAAAGTTGAGACTTATGTGAATTTGAACTCCTATGAAACAGAAGATTCTGATCACTGCACTGGCATGGCATCAGGTCTTTTGCTCCTCAATCCAATAAAGTCGCTTTTACATTCCATTTTTACTTTAAGGACTAACACTGTAATAACTAAGAAATGCGCGCTACACTTTTTATCTTTTTATTTTATTTTAAAAGAAGGACAATGGATGACAAGAGCAAGTCACAGTTATCTATTATTTAGATGCCCAAAAATTCATAGGCAGAAAAGGGAAAGGGTACGAGGGTGGAGCTGCATGTCAACAAGGCAAGACGAGCAATCCTGAATTGGCGTAACTTTGTTAGCGACCTCATTTTTTTATTGAAAAAACGACTCAAAGGATAGCACACAAAGATGTTTATCAAGACTGACTATTGTTTTTCTTTTCTTATCTTTTTAGCGGGATTGGAGTTCATCAGGTATTCCTAAACTCAACCTTTGAGTTAACATCTCTTGTATTATATGTTACAACAAATTATAGCATGACATGTAACGTAACACATTTAACTTTACAATTGAAATACTAATGTCGGTGTCAATTTCGTATCATGTGTAGAATTAGTTTGGAAAATATGCGCCAATGGAACCTTTGACGAATCTTCAATGAACACTAGACTCTTTTCAATTGAGGAACACTAAACGAATAACAAATATGTATGGAAACGTGCTTTATTGTTTGTTTAGTGCTCCTTTTAACTCATGGAAACACAACTTACCTAATATGCTAGAAATGAAGTTTTGTAAACCGAAATAAGAAACTACATACTGTTATCAAGGCCCATGGTCAGTACTCAGGGTCCAAATGGTGAACAATCTCTAGCCATTTTCCGGTTTTCCAAGGTCCTTGGGCCCCTTACAAAAAAAAATAAAAATAAATGCTCCCCTGGGCTTCACGATAATAAATATTTAAAGATTTAATTAAGTCGATTGGAATAAGCACGGTGAGTTACGTCGGTTGATTAAAATAGTGTGTTCAATTCGTTGAGTGTGAGTTTAGAGCTCTACTCACATAAAGTAGAGTAGTTCAGATAGTCGCCTTGTAAAAAACAAGATTTGATACAAAAATAATGAGTTTGTAGCTCAATTAGTTCATAATTTTATCTTGATCTTGTGTTTGGTTTTGTATTTTCCCAATACCGCTAGCTTATATATATTAAGAAAAATTTGGGTTCAAAAGTATTGATTTTGAGCTTTGATAACAGATCGATGATCAAGATAAGAAGGTGCAGATGAGTAATTTTAATGCCAACACTACTGAAACAAGACTCATGGAATGGTTAGCGAAAAAGAACCTGAGCTGGGCAAATCAGTAAATATGTCCAGCTGAAAGTGATAGATACATGTATACATAGAACTTGTGGTCGAGGTGCATCCTAATCTAGTCTCTTAAGTGGCAGTATCCTATTGACTGCAGGAATTTGGCCCATATGGATTGTCTGAGTCAGCATCTGTGCTGTTATAGATGTATCGTACTGGAGGAGTTGAGTACTCTGTCTAGATCTCACTGTTCGGAATCCACATTCTAAGGAATTCAGACCTATTCAAATTGAATTATATGGTCCTCATTAATCTATTCTAATAGCTCACCTCACATAAAATAAAAGCGTGCACCTCTTTCTTTCTCTAGAAACGGTCTGATTGGCTCTGGATAGTGAGATCCGGAGATAATCCTAATTCGTACTAAAGTACTCAAGTTCCATGTCACCACTGAATACTAACGGGGGAGCGAGTGTTGCTGATGAAGTTATACAACTCAACATCCAACTCAGTATTATATGTGTTCGATCCAGAACTGCCAATTCTCTCTCTTGAGAGAGAGATACTTGCTATTTTTGCGATTAATTGTAATATCACAAATCAATAACGCACTTGTGCCTGTAGCAAAATCCCATGCATGCATTCTCAATTTAGCAACACATTTGATATGTTGGTCTGTTTTTCCCTTTTTTTTTTTTTTGGCAAGGTGGTGTGTAAGACTTTTATCGGGCTTACATCTATTTGGGAGTCCTAATTGATTAAGAATACAAGATAGGAAGTAATATTTATCTCGATTACTTGACGGTGAAGTAAAACAATAATCAATGGGAATATCTATCTTATTAGATCATGGCTTCTGGAGATGCTAAAAATATGTATTAAGGTTTTCTTTATGGGCAAGTAATCTAATACTCTCACCTATAGTTAAATATAAGGCTTAGGTTCCCATATCCAATTATTCTAGCGCAAAAACCTACCCCATAGGAGTGCATAAGGTGTGTAGAGAGGGAAGATCTTTGCTTGTTCATTGGTGCTTGTGGTTCAATCTTGTTCAAATCAATCATTTCTCAAAATTAGTAATTTTAGTGTCATATTATAGATGGATTTACATGGAGTAATCATATGTGGTTTCCAGTCTATAATTTCACCAATACAAAGTGATCAAGCACTACCTTTCATTAGTTATGAACTTCTTTAATTCTACAAACTCATTTTCGTTATTTATAAGATCAAGGCAATATATAAGCTATAACATCGTTTAGCTTTAAGGTGAAATTAGGATTTAATTAATCTAACATTTATGTTTGACCTAAGTTCAAATCCATTCCGTTGATAAAAAAACAAATATCCAAATGATATTATTAAAGTTGATGAACATAAAAAATTAGTGAGTTTTATATCAAATAAAATCTTTCTTTTAACATAACTTCGAATTGATTAATCCTTAAAGTAGTATTAAAAGGAGACACCATGCAATTTGAAGCTTGTCAAATGCCAAATCGTAGGGAAAAACACACCATATTCATTCACCCTTCTTGTGGTCGGCAAATTATAATGAACTTTTTCTTTCGTAATGTGAGAACAACCCGAAATTTGCTTTAAAGTTGTGACAGGCTTGACAACTGCACACCAGCCAAGCAAATTGGCATTGTAGATGCATGTCTATATCATTCTTACTTTACTAACCATATGTCAAACTAATTACCACATAAATATTATGCTACATTACTGAATATCGATACATGTCATATCAACGAGAGAAACATTTATGAATTAGGGACGTAAGGATGGAAAGTGTCCCAAACTTATTATGCGTCAGCATATGTTTAACTTTTTTATATAACAATGTGTAATTGATTAAAACATCACCGTTTTAGTGCCCATAACATATCCAAATGATCACAGTATATAGTTGAATTATTTGCTACAAGAATCCGAGTGTTTCCTTTTGTCCATTTTGCCCGGTTGTAGTCTGATGAATCCCATCCATACATCTCGTGTCAATTCTTTGTTGCATTATCCAAGCAAGCAGAAAACACGAGTCTTTCCTTTTTCTTGGTAGTGTGAGATTGAACTACTGTTCGATCCAACTGGCGGCAAAACCACCCGAGCCTTCTCCACCACATCTTCTACTGCATTGCCACATGTACTCCCCGAATCTAAGCTGCTCAGGGTGGGCCAGCGCCAAAGCTCTAGTAGCCCTAGTAGCCAGCCATGGACCCCACAAGAACCTCTGACTTGACAGGGGGACCCACACCCCACAAAGCATAGCCAACTGAATGAGGATTTGTGAGGATCCTGAAATCATCTAATTACTAATTACGTCTGTTATTGTATATCGTATATCGTGTAATTATAAATTATTATAAATTTTTTTATTTAAAATTAAATATGTAAAAACTGATCGTGTAATATACGATAAACAAACGTAATCGAAGGATTCCAAAATTCTCATCCGGAGAAAACCCTTATTCATAGCCAACCACAAGATAACGTAACAACTTTTCTAGGCCACTTATTATTTTCCACGTGTCGCTTCCTGATTCCTTCCCTCCCCACTGTTCCTTTGGCGCTCTGCCTACGGTTAGACCCCCAAACTACCTCTCCCTCCGCACTCACAAGTCACAGGACTCACAACTCAATTATTACTCAAAATTTTAGAGTCTGAGAAGTCGAGAGAGAGATGTTGAAGGAAGATCAGAGCAATGGGACTGCTGCCAACAACAACTGGGCACGTGTTTGCGACACGTGCCGGGCAGCAGCTTGCACGGTGTTTTGTCGTGCAGACTCGGCGTACCTATGCTCGGGCTGCGACGCCACCATTCATGCTGCTAATTGTGTGGCGTCGCGTCATGAGCGTGTGTGGGTATGCGAGGCGTGCGAGCGTGCCCCAGCCGCTTTTCTGTGCAAAGCGGATTCGGCTTCGCTTTGCACGGCCTGCGACGCGGACATCCACTCTGCCAATCCTCTGGCGAGGCGCCACCAGCGCGTGCCCATCCTGCCTATTTCTGGTTGCCCGTACGGCCCTCAGGCAATTGAGCATGGCAGGATGAAGTTGGTGAGGTCCGCCACGGCGGAGATGGAGGATGGGTTTATGAGCCAGGAAGGAGATGAAACCATTGATGAGGAAGATGAGGATGAGGCAGCATCATGGTTGTTGCTCAACCCAGTGAAAAACAACAACAACAACAACACCACCACCACCACCACAAAGAACAATGGGCTTTTCTTTGGAGTGGAGGTTGATGAGTATTTGGATCTTGTGGAGTACAACTCATGTGCTGATCAGAATAATCAGTTCACTGATCATCATCAGCAAGAACAGCAGCAGGAACAACATTATGGGGTCCCACACAAGAATTATGGAGGAGATAGTGTTGTGCCAGTTCATCAGTATGGAGAAGTAGGGAAAGCCCACCAGATGCAGCAGCTGCAGAAGCAAAGTTTTCATCAGTTGGGTTTGGAGTATGAGTCCTCAAAAGCTGCATACAGTTACAATGATTCTCTAAGTCACAGTGTAAGCTTCTTAATTCTCTCTACTCTGCTGTCTAATCATGGTTACTGTTAATTAATTAACTACTCCAGTTAATGTTGATACTTTGTTAAACTTTGATTATCAGAAGTCAAAACCCTAGATAATTTGAACAACAGGTTTTAATTAACATATCTGGTGGTTTATCTTGGAAACCCTAATTGTGTTCCTCCTAATAATCTAATCAAGTCTAATTTCTGTGCTCCACTACACTATCACACTTTTGTCATTTTTCTTTTTAATTGGTACACCTTCTGAGCTTGATAGATTGCCATGTAATTCTATCTACATAAACTTTTCTTTCTACAATGGTACACAAATATTAAGTTTTTGCGCATAAATTCAATTTATATTGTGTGACTTTCAATGCTATGTAATACTAAGTGCTAAGGGTGTTTTAGCTGTTAGATTTGATTTTCACAACTATTACATCTTCTATTTTCAACTTCAACCATTTATTTTTCGTATCAGTCAATGATACTTACTAATGAAGAAAAATTGCAATTTTTCAGAACTTTTGTAAGCTCTTTTTCTTTGCTTTTGTTGTTCAAAGGGTGGAATCTCAAAGGGTGGAATCGAACACCACGAATATTTTCGTTCCCTTTCTTTTGCCTTCCCCTTTTTAACTCCAAGTCAGAGAAAATAGAATCTGGTCCAAATGTGCTGTACCAAATTGTCATGAATTGCTTAGAAAATTTGCCTTTTCAAGTTTATCCATAGATAATTGTTACTTAACAGGATTTATGCTCTCATTTTGCTTTGAGTAACTCAGTTAGCTCATCGCACATGATGTCATTGTGGATTATCCAAAAAAAAAATCGCTATAACGAGGTTTTACTGTACCTTATATTTCTACATATTTTCATTTTCAAAGCCACTTGAACTAGCAATTAAATATGCTGCTGTTTTCCTTTGGTCATGTAATAGGTTTCTGTTTCATCCATGGATGTTGGAGTTGTACCGAGTTCAACGATGATCGATATCTCAATTTCGCACCCGAGAACTCCCAAAGGAACTATTGACCTTTTCAGTGGATCTTCCATTCAAATGCCAACCCAACTAAGTCCAATGGACAGGGAGGCCAGGGTTCTCAGGTACAGAGAGAAGAAAAAGACGAGGAAGTTTGAGAAAACAATCCGGTATGCCTCAAGGAAGGCCTACGCGGAGACCAGACCCCGAATCAAGGGCCGATTTGCAAAGCGAACTGAAATGGAAGTTGAAGTCGACCAAATGTTCTCCACAACGCTGATGGCGGAAAATGGATATGGCATTGTTCCATCATTCTAGTTACGACATTCAAAAGATGAAAGATGACCCTATCTCTTCAAATAACACCTTGTGCTGGTTTTCAGTCATATCAATTAAGTCTGCTACTGATATTTAGTGTATCTTTTTCCAGTTTAGTTGGTCTAAATTATTGAGATGTGTGAAGTGTGATTGGTAATTCTGTATATTGTTCTCAATCTCCTTGCAACTTCAGTGTTGTAAATGCATTTACATCTTTTTAACTAAAAATTTAACATTCTCAGAAATTTCAACTTCAATGTTTAGAAGTAATTATCCATGAATTTACAATTCTGCAGTAGTTGCTTGTTTTCTTGAAGCACAAGGAGCCTTCTTTGCTTTTGTTTTGGAGCTTGATTCTTCTAGAGTCTTGCTCTTTCCACACGGGATATACATTTCAGTAGTGCCAACTTACTGGACTCACTTGTCTACCCTCAAGAACTTTGCTAGAGGCATATTTTTACTGCACCCAACTTATACCGCAAAAAGGTCCACCAGCTCGATTACGGTCTATGATCTACTAATTGCAACTTTTAACGAAATGAAAAAATGGCATCCAAGAAGCAGTTTTCCATGTATATCCGATTTGGAGGTTGATCTAAATTTCTTAACCGCTGAACGATGGTGAAAGAAGTGAAGGGTGATTGAATGCCATTGTAAACTCTAACAATGACATTCCTTCGATAGGATATTTGGGGTATGTTCCTTATAGGGAATATGATGGAGGTCCTGTTTGCTTTATTTGCTAGTGTCATTGTGATTGTGCTGTCTAGAAGTTAAAATGCTACTTAATTTATGCAAGCAATCAAAGCTCATATTTCATCAGAAAAAACTGTGACCACCAATCCTTACACGGCCTTATTTTCATCAACATTCGTCCTCAATTTTCTCAAAAATTAAAACATTGCTAGCTACACTTACGAAAATTCTGTTTTGTGTGAAAGGCTCAATGATATCTGAAAGTGAAGCTTAAGACAAATAGACACATTGGCTCAATGATATGTGAAAGTGAAACCAATTATAGTTCAGCCGCTGAAAGTAGCTTCATGCATATGGAGCTTATTGAAGATTTAAAGCTGGATGTGTGTTGGTTGCTCCGAATTTTGTCCGATCAAACTCAAGAAGATACCAGAATCTGTGATGTAATGGGTTGAGCATCTGCCTCGCTGATTTCCCTTCACTCCTTTAGACAGATTCTAACTTCATCATCACCTGCAAACGCTCATAGCAACTAAAACGAATGTCCAGATGCATGCATTAATATGTGCACCCTTTTCAACCAAGGATGAAGATTACTTTCTGTGCAAGAATGGCCTTGTAAGGGTGAAGTAGCTCCGGCGGTGTACGGTGTGGATTGACATAGAACATGGTCCTTAAGTGCATCCACAGAAGACATTCATGGGATGTAATCTGTCACGAATATCTTATCTCAGTATTCGAAGGGAACACCTCTGATTTGAACATGCAGCAGAATCTGCAAATTATTCATACAATTTGGTGGTTTTTACTTTTTTCATTCCAAATTGCCATCCATTAACCATGAGTGCATAGAACAAACTGAATAGTGAGTTTCCATGGGTAGGATCTACATCAACAAGGACATACTGCATTTTCTTCACCCTTTTCAAAAGATATATGCACATGATCAGCACATGGGAGAACAAAAGTTACACCAAAATCATAGATATATGTAGATTTTATCGTATAAAGGATTCTTAACTTCATTGTGGTGTGTATCAAGTTGCACCAAATCAGGTAATTAGTTGACAAAGAAAAATCCTCAATATGATGAACGCTTAAGTTCTGTATATACATCGATTTTGTTGAAAATGCATCGGTAACATGCTACATTTGTTAGCAACAATAATACTGACACATTACCAGTTGCATATAGACAATCCGTAAAATCTTTTACATAGCGAGACTATGCTAAAACACTCCAAGTTTATGTCAACTTGTGCGTGCTTGCTTGGATATTTGATCACGAAGAAGCAAAAAGTGCACAGCAAATTGTATGCAGTTGTGTGAGAAAAGTTCACTCCACTTTTCACTTTGCAGTATGCACAAAGGCAAAAAAATGAAGGGAATGAAAGAATATGCAAAATGCCAAGTTGCCAACTTTTATTATAAAAGCTAGATAGTGTTGGATGATGATTTTGGATAGCCCAGAAGGTCTTATTCTCTTGTCTCATCAATAAAACAATTAAGCATGGCCAAGTGCCCGCGCATGTTTACCTTTATCTCTTCTTCTTTCTCCTGGCTGGTTGGGCAAAGATGACTAGTCGTTGTGCCTCACTTTTCTACATGATCATGCATCATGAGCCACGTACTAATCATAGTCATTGCGAGAGAATTCTTCTGTCCAGACGTCAATATCATGTCATCGTTCAAACAAAAACATAAAACACCTCATACACAATACATCATCATTAAACATCAAACATTAAACATAATTAAGATAATGCTAAACTCTTCTCATGTAAAGGGTTCTTCTTTTTTCAACGAAGACGTAACATTATTTGATCATACAATGTCATAATACATCACTATATTGTTATTTGTAAAAACTTCGTTCAATTTAGAGTCCATTTAGTCACACATATATGCATGAACAAACTAACGATTATGTTTAGAAGTAAAATCATGATAAAAAATCGTTAATTTATTTAATTCATAAGGAGAAAATGGTCTATAAATTAAATGAATTTTTCTAGGGTTGATCTTTAAATGATAATAAACAAAATTACTTAATGATTTTGATTATAATGTTTATACAATAAATGAAGTCACATTTCAGTTGAATCAACTGGGAAATGCAGTTAGTAATCAGTGTGAGCTAGCTTCTGGGAATCCTAGGCTTCCACATTTCAGTTGTGAAGATTGAAAGTCGAGAGAGAGAGAGAGTTGGATTTTCAGCAGAAAATATTTGGGTCAGGTAATTAAGGTCGAAATGTTGTTCTTCTTCCTCCAGAATCCAGAAAAAGGAAAAAGCATAATGATGAATGATTCAGTTGCATCATTTTTGTCAGCAAAAAAAGAAGAGAAAAAACAAGGAAGGAAGGTGGAATCGGGGGTAGAAATATAACGGGCTGCTCAAGAATGTTCAGGACCTACAAACTCCCCAATTGGGGGAGGCCCAGCACTTGTAACCCAACTAAAACACACTGCTACTTATGTAACGAGACAAAATTACTGAAGACTTTGTCAACTAAAAATCAATTAGAACATGATAAATAGCTGAATGGCTTATTTTTCTTCTTCGATTCAGCTTTTTAAGTGTTATTTTGATTTGTCACAAAAAAAGAAGTTTGCGTACCCATCGATTCTAAATCCGCCCCTGTCTACATATAACTGCAAACTAATTGCAATTACATCTCACAAACATGAGTCCCAAATCTTGTAACTGCTAGCTAACTTCAATTGCATCTTACAAATGTAATCTCCAAATCCCATCTCTTCTTATCCTTCTTTCTTCCTTTCTAGATTTAACATTTCAACCAAATTAATTAACGAAAACATAATGTTACTCACACACCTATTTTTACCTCTTACACATTCTTAATAATTTTTTGCTATTGATTTTCTTTAATTCATTCGATCTACAGCAAAAATTGACAATGTGTGAGAAGTAAAAATAATTGTATGGATAACACTATTCTTAATGGGATTAAGTCTACTTGGATTTTTTTTTTTTTTTTTTTTTGGAAACTACTCGGATATTTTTCTAACACAATTAATTATAGCTAGATTTGGAATTACGTGCATCAGTAAAACCTTCCAAATAACGCCATAATGTCATCATTCACCTAACACATGGCGATACAGTAAAATATGCCCAATTGATGTTGCAGAATTTAATTACTCGGACGCTTTTAAAAAATAAAAGTGGGTACATTGCAATCATTTTGTGTAAAACCAATCCCATATATCTTTGTAAATGTCCTAAATTTATACATCAATCAAACTTTCCTGTTGTCATCAGATCACTTATACGAGTGTGATAGATCGGAAATTGAACTGGAGAGCAAAGCATCAGATGGCTATCTAGCTAGACAGTGTGATATAGCAATGTGGACTGCAAATTCCACCACCGCGCCTGGCGGTTTCGTTGGGCTCGTACGGAATCCAGCGACGCCTGCCACCGCCATAGCCTTCATTCTTGGCTTTCCGACGGCGGTCCTGATTCTAGTTTGCCTCTTACATTATTTTCTTAAAACTTGGCCCAACTTAAGAAGTGATGCAAGAAGTGATGCAGGTGATTCTTGTGAGCCAAAGATTCTAGTGATAATGCCTGGAGAGCAAACACCCACATACTTGGCAAAGCCCCTCCCTAATCCCACTCACCAGACTCAAAATGCATGACATGTCTTTGCTTCTTATTCCACATGCATGATTCTGTAGTCACTTATCTTGCAGGATATCTTTCTTCTGGTTTTAAGTTACTAGTTAGTTAGCGCGATCGCTCATGGTATATGTATGTGTATTACATTTTTTTACAGAATATTGTTGGCAAATTGTTTTGATGGGTGGTTGGTTTTGTATATATTTATGTATTTTACGATGATGTTGTGATCTCTACTATGGGAGAGCTCTTAAATAGGCATGCTGTACCCGGTATATCAGATCTGCTCATCATTTTCATTTTCTTCGTTGATAAAACTCTTCCGTTTTCTTTCCAGCAGATTTTGTACTGTGATGTGGTTTCATTTGTCATAAGAATGTTCTGATTCAATCGAAAAAAAGAGAAAAGTATGCTAATGGACATTCACGAAACGTCGATACCAGATGGAATTTAGGTCTAGAACAAAATCAACAAGTCGCCACAACGAAGGTCTTCCTATTTGGTTAGCTACAGCATCTGAAAAGTAAACTATCCTTTAATCATCCAGATCTAGTAGGAACATTCACCAAATTAAACCGGCCTGTACTAGTTAAAACAACGGAGATTTTGACGTTGGTAGGGTGCTAACCCTGCGGGGAAAGTTCTAGTAAACCAATTTTAACCTCCCAAAGAGAGCGTCTTTCCGTGTTAGCGACCGTATCAAGAATAATTTCTTACAAAGCTCTTCCATGTTTAAGCAGAAACCTCGCGAAGTCGATCACACCCTCATGATTTTCACCACCTTTAGGTGACTAAGGAAGGGACTTAACTTTTTTTTATAGTATCAAAGCAAGGTTGTTCCACATGTAAAGCCAAACAGCTGCACCCACTCCACGTCATCCCCTATGTGTTGTTCACGTATTAGGCTTGAAAATTTGCCACACGTGAGGAGGCGTGTTGAGAATAAATCTCACATTGATGGACTTATAAATAAGTTGGGGTACTTCTTATATTGCAAATTAGTTTTATGATGGAATCTCTCAACTTCCTCAAAGTCCCCCATTGGTGAGGAACCAAACCATGCAAAAGCTTATAAGAGACCGATTCCCCATATTGCGAACTTTCTTCACCGAATACTAATTTTTCGTAGCAAGTTTTTAGGCGAGCACAGCCTGCTAATGCAAGTTCTTGTATGAACACAAATTCAAGGAAAGAAAAAAACAGTTCCGCCAATCAACAACAGCTAGCTCCGTGAAGTTCATTTTCCTTAGCTTTTGTGATAAGTACGTAAGAAACAAATATTGGATTCGAATATAATTCCGAAATAGAGAGAAAGAGATGCATGTGAAAACAAGAAAACTTCTATAACAATCCATGACCAGGTGGCCAAGCAAAGTCCAAAAAAAAAAAAAATCACTATCACTATTCATGTACAACAAAGGCAATAATTGTAAATTTATAGCTTAGATGATAAAATTTCCTTCCTTCTTATCAGGTCACTGTGGAACTTTATATAAAGCTAATGCCAGCTTATAAAACCAAAGCATAGTTCATTCATTTGTCACATTTGCATTGTAAAAAACCAGAGAGACAGCAATGAGGCCTTCAGCTGCAAACTCCACCACCGCGGCTACTGGTCACGATGCCATATTCAGAAACTGGAATTCTCCGATGCCATACCTCTTTGGAGGCCTAGCACTCATGTTGGGGCTCGTTGCGGCAGCGTTGCTGATTCTTGCTTGCTCCTTACACAACAGCTCAAGCAGCAGCAGTAGTGATCAAGATCAGAAACCAACTAGACCAGTGGACATAGAGGCTGGAGATTCTGAACCCAAAATTCTTGTCATAATGGCTGGAGAGAAAACACCAACATACTTGGCAAACCCCATCACATGTTCTACTACTCTCTCTCATGCACCAACTGATCATCAAAACGTCTGAGTTGAGCTTTGGTTTGGTTTTTCTAGTTTAATTCTAGTTTCAGTCTCCTCCTCCTACTACTACTGCAGGCTTGTCGGATCTTGCGGAAATTTATGTAAATTGAAGAGAGCATTATAATTGTTATACAAACCATTTTCTTCCCTTGATTTCTGTTTTATTGTGAGTGTTATGATCATGGTTTCTCCTCTAGTTTTGGGATCAATCTGAAAGTGCGATTCAATTTGTTAGGCTTTAAATTTTAGGACAATTGCATGGCACCTAGGTTTGAAATTAAACTTTTTAGGCTTTTTAGCTAAAAAAATGGTCTCTGAGATTAACATAACTCCTCAAATTTTGGTTCGTCACAATAAAAATCGATCGTAGTGATCTCTAATTTTGTCCACTGTAAATCTTTTGGTCCTTTAGTAAAAAACCAACTTTTAATTTTCTGCTGGGTTTTCTTCTTCTTTTTCATGGTTTGGAATATTTGTTGAGCATGGTTTATGATGATGTTCAGATCTGAAAGGCAAGCAAACTAAAAGTTTGGCATATCTTGGGAAGCAATTAAACTTGAAAGTTCAGTTCAACCTTCCATACACAGGTGGTGATTTAACCAACTCAAATTACCTCCTCCAAAATTACACCCTTTTAGTAGCTATTCCAAAACTCAAAAGAGAAGAAATTGCACATCAATTAATGTTTACGCTTCTTAATCGTACACGGCGGTGGCCAATGATATTTGCTAGCACTATAACACTCTGGTATCTTAATTTTGATGTATATGTAGATTACTAAAGAAGACTATTACAATCTGAGGATTATTGTGTGATACTGAAATACTTTCACGTGATATAACCAATCTATTATCTGCTCTAGTGTGACAGCCCGTCCCAGATTTTTCGTACCGTAGGGATAAAATGACGGTTTTGCCCCTAGTGATTTTGTTTCGTTGTGTGGTTGTTTTGGGGATTTGGTTGGTTGCTTTTGGACCACACACACACACCCACACTCATTCTTATCATCTGCCCTGTCCCGTATCTCTCTCTCTCTCCCTCTTCTTCATCATTTACGTACGAACAAGAACCAAAGTACTCGAAAATATTACGGATCGAGGAAGAAAATTATACCTTTGCGTTCGTGAGGTTCATACGAGTTCAACCATACCCATTTCAGGTAAGGAAACCTTTGTTTTCATGTCGAACTCAAGATCCCCAATTTGGTCACTGTTCATGCACACGTTTTTGGAAATTTCAGGTTTATAGGAAGTTTGGTGAGGTCCTTAGAAAGCTCAGGGTGGTTTGTTTAAAGGTTTTGGACGTCGGGATCAGTGAGTTGCAGTTTGGCCGGATTTTGTGAAGTTTTTCCGGCGAGATTCCGTTGGTTTTAGTGCTTGAAAGTGGTAAGGTTTTGTTCCTCTAGTTGTAAGCTTCATTATGGTACCAATTTCATGACATTTGGGTGAAAAACGAGTGAGAAACAAAGGTTTGAAGTTTTTCCAGTTTTTCGGTGACGGCGACGGCGCCAGAGGTTGACCAAAGAAGACGACGGAATATTCCTAACGGCGTTAGGTTAACTTTAACGGAATCTATTAGTTTTAATGGAATATTCCTAACGGCATTAACTGACATCGTCAGTGTGCCAGACACGTGCCTGCGCATGGGTAGCGCGTGTGACGTCAGAAAATTATTTTAAAAATATGGAGATGTTCGTAAGGTTGAGTAGATCACGTTGGTGTATTCATACACCCCATTTGAGCATTGTATGAGAAGTTATTACCTAGTTTTGGTTATGTGCTTTAAATTAACGTTTTTATAGTTGTTTCGCATATAGGCGAGACCTATCCCGAGGACGAGCGCAGTCACTCGAGGCAAAGGGGTTACGACCCTTCTACATATCAGTAAGTGGGCTTTTGGTTTTCCGTATATACCTATATACTTGTGATATTCCCAGAAAATGAAATGAAACGTTTATATGTTTTAAATGCCATGCATTGCGTTTGCCTATTTAATGATGCATTAATAGTTGCATATATGTATGTTTGGTGATGTGGACGCACAGGTAAGTGGCAGGTAAGTTATGGTTTATGTTTGTGATTAGTAGTGATATGAGATGCATAGAGAGCTCATAACCTGCACCGCCAGTGTTAGTGCTCCCGCCCAGAGTAGGGCACAGTCCTTCACGTGATGATCACCTCCCGCACCACACGCTCATCTTGGATCCAAGTTAGGTGCACATGTCCTGTTGTATAGACCACTATAGGTGGTTCTAACTCGTAGGTGACCCGCGATTATTCGCCTAGTCTTCACGTAATCATAGCACTTGAGCGTACCTATTTACACCCAGTCCTGTCGTATAGACCACTTTAGGTGGTTTCGACTCAGTGTGCAGGTATAGTTAGTGAGTTGGAGATTTGAGCTTTAGATTCAGCCGTACAGGTCACGTTAGGTGACTCTGGCTGACAGATTGCATTGCATTGATTGACATTACCTGGTTTCCTTACATTTTATGTAGAGGCATTCGACATGGCATATTTCTGAGCATGTTTTCTATATGTGTTTATTTTCTATTTTCTGGGAAACTATACAGGTTTTACGGCGAGGGGTTAGAACTTTGTTAATGAAATGGTTTTGAAAAGCTTTGTTTTTGCCCACTCACACTTTTTGTTTTACGCCCCTCCAGGTTCTAGTTTGGATTGCTCTTTTGGTGGCTCTCGAGGGATTCATGGCATATCTGACAAATTATCACCAGTGTAGGACCACCTCTGGGTGTGTTTCGTTAGTGTTTGTTCCTCTGGATTGCACTAGGTCTTTTGTGCTCTGAATATTATTTTTCACACTTACACTTGCACATGTGTGTTATCTACTCAGTGTATAGCTTGATTTTTTATTTATTTGTACTTTTATTATTATTTTTAGCTTTCGCACTGTGCACATGGTTACGTCACTCTCACGTGACGGCCAGCATGCCTTGATCTCGGTCGGGGTGTGTCATCTAGTACCATAGATTAATGCTTCTTAATCGTACGCGTTGGCTAATGATTTCAAATTTCATTTTTTAGCTTTTTATACTCCTTTTGTGAGAGCTAATAAAAATTGTAATATATATATATATATTTTTTTTTAGTACATCGATATTTTTACACTAAGGATGAGTTCAGCTAAATCACAAAGTGGACAACCTAATTTAGTATCGAATTCGTCATCCACTAGATTCGAACCTAAGACCTCTTATTTTCAAGTGAAGTAATACTACAAAACTGTAGTACTTAGTGACATAATTTGGATTATATATGATTAGTAAAAGAAGTGTGTCAATTAGGTATTATATGATATTGAAACTACAACTGTGATATAATCAAATCCATTACGTTCTCTAATACCATATAATTTCGCAGCCCCATGGAATTATACCTTCCACCATGTAGACTTCTAATTACAAGCTTTTCACTGTTACAGCTTTGCCAATGAATTCTAACTACGATCGCTTCTTTTTGTTTTTTGAGCAAAACTATCACTTAAGTGATAACTATGAAGATTATGTAATTAAAGAAAGCTAATTGCAAGGGTTTTATTTAATTAATTGATCAATAAGCTGACTTAATTGGAAGAAGTGTCCTACTTTGAGAACCTGCCGTCTGCAAGAGTCTTTTAGTAGGTTACTTTTTCACATCATTAGCCAACTAAATTTGACAGAAACGCAAAAGCCAAAAAGTAACCGATGGATGAGATCAACAGAGACGTGGCTTCTCGGAGTATGTATTTATCATTTTTGGTAAATCCACTGTCTCCATTTTCTTGGACATTTGGCAAGAATAATACTTACATTTCATTTCCCTTTTAGTAGATGAGTTCATTCTTTATTGTAAAAATTTTTAAATCAGAATCGTTTAATGTTTTATCTTTATTTAAAAATCATTTTCATAAAAAATCATTCAAATCGGATACCATTTGGACATCTAAATGTATCAAATAAATCAATGATTCATTATGAATATACAACTTGATACTTTCGTTGTTGATTTATTTATTTGAAACATTTGGATGATTAAATGATGTCCGTTTTGAATGATTTTTTTGTTGAAATAATCTTCAAATGAAGATTAAGTGATTAGACAGTTTCGATTATAATATTTTACAATGAAGATACATTATAAGTAATTAGGGGAATGAATTCATCCCAAAAAGGAATGCAAGCATTATCCTTTGACAAATTAGTCCAAGAGGAATACAATTTCCATTTTCTACGTCAACTTTAGTGGGGAGCATAGGAAATGATGAAATCCACTGGGTTTTTATATTTATAGTCACATTTCTATGAAGTTTCTTGTGAAAGTTGATAGAAATTGACCAAATCTAGCAAAAATCTCTCTCAACCAATGTTCATGGACAGCATCAAAGAAAAAACCAATGCTCATGGATACTATAATATCAATTTCTTTTGATAGCGCGGCAAAGTTTATGTGTAGTTGGTTTAGTGGGGCCAATGTTTTGCACCATTTTACCAGCAGTAAAACATATATACACATATGCATATACATAAGTTTTTAGGGTTATTCCAATAATAAGGAGGGATAAAGTAATGGATAGGCATATCACGTATGTCATTTGAATTAGTTCAGAATAATTCCATATTATTGTTTCGCATTTTAGTTAAAATCGTCATTGAGATTGACACAATTTCTCACTTTGGTCCATAAGATTTGGATTCGTTAAAAGTGATTCTTGAATTTGTTCATTATCAATCATTTTGGTCATTCCGTAAAAATTCTGTTAAATTAGGATCAAAATGACTAAATACCCTCAATTTAATAAACAACAGACCAAAATGATTTGACAAAAATTGGGCAGTTTTTTTCATTTTGGTCTTATTTAACGGAGATTTTCATGAAATGATCAAAATGATTAATGCCAGACAAACTCATGAACCATTTCTATCGATTTTAAATCTCATGAACTATTTTGACTAAAAAGCCTTATTATTTTGCACCAAAATTTTATTCCTAGATGGGATTAGAAAGAGAT